ATATACCTTATGCTTTTGATTTCATCTTTCATTGTCTCTGTAAATCTTCTGTAGCATTGTTAGCATCTCTTAAGTTGATTCCTAAAGGAAAACACAAAATCTGATGTTATAGAAAACTGTGAAGTTAATCGAATGTGGTATGACACCATAGATGTTTCTACATTTAAAAAATGTATTCCCTTCCTCTGTTCTTTTGTTCACCATAGAAACAAAGAATGTACAATTTCCTTTCCCTCTATATGTGTATGTATATATACAGAGGCATTTTACTTACAAAGTCTTCTGTATAAGCTCTTTGGCAGAAGCAAATTTTTGGAGGTGTGTTAGATCTCCAAAAATTCCAAGCAGCTCCCAGTCATTTTCTGTATTCACATTTAAAGCATAAAAAAGTACCATACTTATTGTCTTAAAACGAAGCTCTCGGATATTTATGTGAATTGTGCCTCCCAGTTCGTAAATCTGTCATTGGTCAGAAAGTGATAATTCTGAAATTTTTATGCAGCCGTTTTGTACACGTTACACTGATCAAAGTTAAGAAATTTAAAAATGAGCTTAAACTTTAATGTCATGGTTTAAAATTTAAAGAATTTGGGTTGAAGTTCTTCTGAATCTGTGGACTGTCATATATATATTTAAGATGGAAATCCAAGAAATTTTGATAAGCAATTAAATTATGATTATCAAAGACCTTTGCAAAAGAAAGAGGAAATAGTTAGTAGATAGTCACTGTAGCCTTATGCTGTGTTTTAAACAGAATATCAATTGATAGGTCTCCCTGCATTTATGAGAGTTTTATCTGCTATGTTTGTAAATTGGGGGGGGGGGCTGGAGAAAGGGCGGTTACTATAAATTAAAGTTGGAATTTTTGATGTATTGAAATGTTAATAGAATTGATAATAAATCACCATATTAGTGGACAACTCTTGTACCATCTTCTGTTTTGGAAATGAATGAAATATAATAAGATTAGTTTATCATTTTTTATTTAAGTGATTATTCAGTGACCTAGAACAATAATTGAAATTAATTATAAAAAGAAGGAATGTAGAATTGGCTCTGAAGACATGTAACAAAATTTTGTGACCTTAAATTTCTTTCAGCTATTGAAAAGACATTAACTTTGCATTTTATTTTATTAGCCTGTTGTAAGATGCATGATGTGTTGTACTACAGCCCAGCCCCTTAAAAAAAGTTAAATATTCTCAAATCGCAAAACCGAAATTTTCTAATGCCTTGAGTATCTGCATATCGTTGACTCTCAGAACATTTCTTTTATTACTGTTATACTTTGAGTGCTATATTTTTTTTTTTCAGAATTAAGAAATAAGTCATTGTTGATTTTTCTGTACAGTAGAATAAAAGCAATAAATTATTTTATTACTTTAAATTTTTGGATAAGGTAGCAAAAATCTTTGTTGGGCGTATAATTTCTTTTCGGAAAAAATGTATTCTTATTCGCTTTAAAACCAGTAGTTATATTGTTTTTATATATGACGGCATTTCAAAAAGTAAAGATGCAATGGCTCGCATTCCTTAAAAAAAAAAAAAAAAAAAAAAAACATTTATTTAGAAAATGCCAGTTACATCTTATTAACTGGATTATTTATTATTTTTCGACATAATCATCCCGTTATCCAAACATTTGTCAAGTCGGTGCACAAGCTTTTGTATTCCACAGTCATAGATGGTTGCCGCCTGTTGGAACCCAGCGCGCACACAATTTCCTGTACCCTAACTTGACAGTCACAACTTCATAAAGAGTTGTCATTAACACTTCCGGTATGATCCGATGCAATTCTTTCAATTTGAGACGTCTATTTGCACGAATTGCTTCCTCTGTTCTCTGAAGAAGGGCATCAGAGATCACAGATGGCTGACCTGTTCTTTATTCGTCATGAACATCGGTCCTACCTTGAGAGAAATGACAATACCAATTTGTTACATTTTGTCGATTCATAATGTTCCCATAAACAGAAACAATTTCTTTGTGAATGTCCGCTAGTCGCTGACCTTTTGCATGAAGAAAACGTATGACGGAGCGCACTTCTCATTTGGCGGGATTCTGAATCTGCGCAGCCATTTTAAACACAACCTACTCCAACCAGAATCAACGTTGAAATGCCGAACGATCGCGAGGAGAGAGTTAACCCCTGTGTTGCCAACTTGCTCACCAAAACTTTTCTGTTCCTCTGGCGTACAGTGTATCTTTACTTTTCGAAATGCCCTCGTATTATAAAATTTACATTTGAGATAAAAACTACTGAAATGTCTGGCTGCTATTACTTTAAGATTGACCAAAGATGTTTTGTGTACAGCCTATAAAAGTTATGTTCATCCTGTTGTTGCTTTTTTTTAAACCAATGGCGGGCCCTCAGCCGACTTTGTTACTACTAAGGCCGGAAGTGGCGATCATTTTATTATGGAGCACCTTATAGATAGGCCACCTCTGTCCTCTATGAAGGGATAGATGTTTACAACTATGCCTTTTCTGGGATTCGAACCTGGGCTCTTTGGTATTGCAGTTGCCTCGCCTAACCACTATACGGTCTGGGCGGCTGTTGAATTAAGTAATGAGATTTTCATTACTGCTTCAGATTCTATTAGAAGCAAGCTTGATATTGTTACAAAATGTACAGGCGAGGTAAGATGGCTTCTCCGCAAAGCAGTTTTAGGGTTGCCATAAAATGGCAAGGAAAGGCAGGGTTGCCATATTTGGCAAAAAATCACCCATTTGGCGACAAAATTGGTGATATGCCATGACTGATGGAGAACCTTCTGGAATGAATTCTTACCGTTTTAGCCCAGAATATTCTCGAATACAAGCCGAAAGCTATATAAACCCTGCTGGTCCGCAGTCAGTTAGTCTCAGAGAGTGTCTCGTCTAAAGTGCGAGTGTGTCATCTAGTTAGTCTTTGCGAAGACTATTGAGTTGGCAGACGGCCAGCGAGTGCCGAGTGGTTCGTCAAGTGCACCGAAGGAGTCTCTTAGTGCATCGTCGAGAGAGCGTGTTGAGCTCTGGGAACGACTGAACCGAAGAGTTGGGAGCTGTGCTCTGTGTGTCGAGTGCATCGCAAGTTGCAGCGTGGAAAGTCTTGAGAGTATGCGGAGTTCCGAGAATGACCAAGCAGAGTTGGGAGCTGTACTCTAGTGCTTTGCAGTGATAGCCTGATTACCTGAAGGCTATGTCGCTGATCATGTCAACGTGTTTATAGTTGTTCATAGACGACTGTAAAAACGTGTTTTGGAGCTGTCCTGACAATACTGGCCAATAAAGTGTGTTTCGATACTTCATCAAGTGTCGTAGTTATTCACTCCAAATCTACGAACCCCGTACGAGCGTGAAGGAAGAAAATAACGTAACAACTGATGTCAGAACAAAGAAAAAAAGTAACAATATTTTCAACATTATAAACAACATGTTGCGATTGATCAGGGTGGCACAAAAACGAATCCTATTGCTGCTGTGGAATTACACACAGATTTGGAGCCTTGAAAGGAGTGCTATGAATATTGTTGAAAAAAAATCTTAAGAAAAGAAAAGTTTTTTTAAAATACTATAGACCAGCAAGTGACAAAAAGACTTAAAACTCGTAGATCCTTCCTTTTAACTGTATATGATCTTTATGATGCTTAAGATATTCCTACACCCAATCATCAGGTTTTCTCACAGAAGTGGGACTCCGTTTTAAATTTAGGTAAGCTGGAAAAACACCTGGATCGTGTTTAGAATGTCACAAACACCATTCCACTCTGAATGAGTTAAAAAATGCTGCTCTGTCTCTATGCAGTCTAGGTACCCTCTAGACCAGAATCTGCCAAACTTTTTTTGATTGTCAACCCTAAAAAATTTTATAATCTATCGATATCGACCCCCCCCCCTCTATAAAAAAAAGATAAAAAATAAAAAAACTTAACCTATTTCTTAAATGATTTATTTTGACAAAATCCAATTTTTACATAAATCAATGAGAAGAATGTGCTTGATGATACTTGGCTAGATTAGCAATGTTTGGTTCGAAATTTATTAGTTTGTCAGAAATTGCCTCAGAGCTCCACTTTTAATTTATTTCTCTGCTTCGTTAAAATAAATTTAACATGACTGAAGCCAGATTCAACCATATATGAGCTTGGGAATGCAATTAAAATGGCAAATGCTGTATTACAAGGTTTTGGGTCATTTTAGCATAATATTTATATTTGTCCAAAATTTTCTCACAGTTAAATTATTAAAAAGCATCTTTGCTTCAACGTCAAGTAATAATTTAATGACTTCATCTTGCAAATGACTGTTGATATTTTCAACTTGAGCAGAAAGTGCGATAATCCATTCTGGGATATACGTGTTTTCCGTATCTCCAGAACGTAATTTGAAATCATCTGTTAATTTTTCGAGATTATTTGCATATATTTCCAATTCTTCATCAGTTATATCCAATTGTCATAAATTTGAAAAGTATTGAAAATCTTTGCATAGCAATGAAGACTTAAACAAGTTTAACTTAAAAGCTTAAAATAACTGTCAGTGCTTAAATTAGTGTAATATATTTTCCTTAGAGCCATATTTGAATATCATTGAACTTTGAAAATATATCTGCCAAATAAAAAATTTTGTTTTTATTTATTTTTTTAGATATTTTTAACATCATCACTTAAGGCTTGATAAATTTTTGTAAGAAATTCTGTAACTGTTTCAAACAGTTCAAGTCTTTGTAAACATACACCTCTTGACAACCATTGTATTTCAGTGTGTAATAATAATTGGTTTGATAGTTCATGAGTGCTAATCTACAAAGTAATATTTTTTTTTTTTTTAAATATGATAAAAGATCTATGGAATAAAACTTATAAAAGTTAAATGTTTGAAATACGTATATTTTTTTATCTCATTTTTCAGTTTTCCTCCCTCCTTTTTTTGTTTGTTTTTGGCCTTTCACTTAAAAAAAATAAATAAAATAGGGTTGCAAGTAATGTGTTCTGATGATAAGTATTTTTTCTTGCAGATGTATATTTAGGTTTCCTAGTACAAATATCAAAATAGTATTTCAGTCACTTATTGATGAAAGCAGTCCTCCAAGTAGATCCCTTCCTGAGTTAATGCCACACAAGCCTATGGCACCTTTACGGATAAATATACCAGACTCAGAAACCCATTTCATAAGTCCTGCACCTTCTCCTACAGGTACTATAAGGTTTGTACAAGTTATTATTATTTCTAATATGTGACAGTGTTAAGTAATATATAACTTTACAAAATTTTAAATTATTATTTTAGTTATTTAAGTTATTACTATTGTATTAATATGGATATAATGTCTTTTGTGACGAATTACTTTACTAGAGAGCATACAGACATATTTAATGTTGGTTAAATATTAATAACTGAATCCACATGTATAACTGCTGATTCATCCTCCAGTTTCCCAAGGCAACAATTATCTAAAAGTAGTTTTTCTTATTTTTTTAATGATGATGCTACTTTTTGTAAAAATTTATTTTGTATCACGTTGCTGCTATGGGGAGAGGGAAAAGACGATTAAGTGCTTGTACTAAATGAAAGAAGTACATCAGCTTAGTTTCCAAGCTTAGAAAACTTTAGGACTAAAATTTATCATTAGATATATTTGAATTAACTTCAAAACTTGACCTGAATCATAAATTCTGGAAAAATAACTTTTTATTGTTTTTCTATTGGTAAAAGGATTTATTTGAAATTTAATTTTATTTTCCATCTTTTTTTGAATTTTAGTGCTGCCAATTCTTGTCCTGCAAGTCCTCGTGGAGGATTGAGCAAACGAAATATTGCAAGTGAACTTCAGATGGTGGCAGCGTATGCTGCAGCGGCTGCTACCTCTAACAGTAGTAAAGTAGACCAGAAACTTCAGTTTGCCAACAACAGTGATGGACAGCCTCCTCCAAACAGTAATGGAGCGGGGTCAAAAGATGAAAAACCACCTTATTCATATGCTCAGCTTATTGTACAAGCTATATCATCAGTGCCAGATAGGCAGTTAACTCTCAGTGGAATTTATTCATATATTACAAAAAACTATCCATTTTACAGGACTGCTGATCGAAGTTGGCAGGTATATTGGAAAATTTTCTGCTTTAAAAATGTATGGTGATGTATTAACGTAAAAGGAAATGAAGTCATTTAAAAATTATTTTCATTCATAGATTTTTTTGAATGTGTTAAGTTTGATTTGTTTGTATTATACTTCCCCAATTGCAAGCAGACTTACTTTTGTTTTGGGAAAAGTCAAATAATGTTTCTCTATGTAGAACTGGTATCATTAATGCAGTTGGTACAGTTTATTTATTTTCGATTTTCTGATATCATAAGCATAGCCACATTGTGCTTCTTTACAGATTTAATAATATCACTGTTATCGGAATTATTCTCATAACCATCAAAACATCCATTCATACAGTTAATTTGCATCTTCATTCTCACTAGGAACCTAACATAAGTTATCGTCAAAAACTCCTGAAATTACTTCAGTTTCATTCATTTCTTTCTGTTTTCTGAAAGAGAAAAGCACCAGAAAATTTAAGGTGCAGAAGATAGCAACTATTTAAATTACCAGAATGCAATGAAAACCAGGAAGTAAATGGGGAAGAGAACATAAAAGCAGTCACATTTAATGCATTGACATTGGTTAAAACATCTAAATAAACAAGGCAGATAGAATATATTAACAGGATACATTTAAAGACAGCTTGTAGGTAGCATGGGTTATCTTTTGATCCAGAATAATGAGTAACTCATGATCTGTCCCCAATGTGTTAATGGAATTGCAAGGAATAGTAGAAGTGATAACATGGGAAAATGACAAATAAAAGAATGATTTCATTTAGCTCGTTAAAATTTTTGTTTGGCGATTTTGATTAAAATCGGTTACTGATAAGTAGGTCAATGTTTTTTATGTCGATGATGAAAAGTGTTGTGATAGTAAAAAAATTATTTTCACTTCATCTGCATTTAATTAAAACTGTATTTAAAAAAAGGGGGGGTTACATAGAGAGAGAGTATGGAGAGTTTCATTGTTTCTCAGGCAAGTTATTTTATTTATTGTAAGTGTTCTTCTCTTAAGTACTCATGGTTTTCTTATATTAAATCCATGTATTGAGCTTAAACTAACAAGACTTAGGTTATTTTTTGCTTCAGGACTAGCAAAGGTGACAGTGTAAAGTATTGTCATCTAACATTGTAGAGATTTCTGTTGTTATGCATAAAATGAAACCCTCCTCCTTTAGGCAGTTGGTTGCCTTCTGGAGAAAATGTATGGAAGAAAATAATATCTTTACAAAAAAATAACATCATTATTAAAAGCATTCTTTATGTAGTAGAATGGATAATCAGTTTCTATAGCCTGAACCACTAAGTCTGTAAGTATAAAGAATTATCTGGGAATTTTCTCCCAACTTATACTGACTACACTTGAATGACCTCAACCTAGCAAGACAGAGCCATAATTTCATGTTGTTTACATCATGTTCACTTTGCCGTTGAATATCAAGTTGAAATATTAAGTCATTAGGTCAGATAGCACTTTTCTAATCTTCAAATATAGTAGGGGTTCGCAAAGTGAATCTTTGTCAACAAGGGGATACATTTACTTCAGGTGTCCTATCCTATTTTAACCATAACATAAGAAATTTTAGCATTCTGTAATTATCCACAACATCCTTCCCTAACAAAAAGGTGCCAATTTATTAGCAACTGTGTGAATTGGCCAAATGCATTTATTTGGTTATATTTACAGTTTATAGTTACTCTTCATAAATAATAAAAGAAGTATTTTGAAAGAAAAACAGAAACTTAGCTTTGAATTTCCTTTATTTAATAATAATAATAGTTTTACAATTGGTAGGCACTGTTGAGTGAAGTGATAGTCAAAATATGAAGTGTATGGTTAAATATGATGATTATTAAGATGGGTAAATATGAAGTGTATCGCTAATACTTAAATACTCAAACGTGTGATACATGCATTCACAGGTTGGTTATTCTTATGTGGATGCAGAAATCCATCAAAAACGGGACAGTTTTACATTATAATAAAAGTAGCGGGGATTATAATCAGAAGATGCCCAAATGATTTATTTCATATAGGCAGGCGTACGCAAGCTCTCATTAAAATTTCATCATACCATATCGTAAGGTTGCTTACTGATTTGAGCCATTGTCACATTTATAACTATAATTTACTCTTTCATTTGAAGTTGTATCTTATTTCATTTCATAAAGACGAAGAATACTTGCTATTATATATTTTGATAGATGTGTATGTTGTGTTCAGGAAGAAACCTCAATAGTGTTCTGTCTAGAGATGGGTGAAATCACTTCTTAATAGGATTGAATCAGAACTGTTCACTCACAGAAATGAGTCAGTTTTTTGGTATGACGTTCATTAATAGTAACCTTAATGAAAAAAATCTAGAATGAAGGAGAAATCAAGCGGTTAGTCAGGTTGGAGTGAAAAGAATCAAATAAGCTGTGGAATAAGAAAAACCAGTTTAGTAAAATGTGAACTCCTTGCACTGATTTCTTTTTACTGTAGTTTTGAGATTCCATAAAACCTCCTTTTTACAAAGAACTAACAACAAAATTCATTCTTAAAGACTTTCATGTAGTTGGAAAATGAGAAAAATTAAACTCACATTTAACATGGGAGGATAATCATTCTTTTTTCCCCTAAAATGCGAACTGAACTTTCTAGGAACATTTTCATAAAGATTCCCTCCCTCCCCCCAAGAATCAGTTTGCAGATCTCTGTCCCTGGCATGCTTCAAAAGCAATCCGTGAATTGTAAAAAAACTACGATTCCTTTCTCTGGAATTGGAGTAAATTTGCTTGCTTAATTGATTCAGCTGATCATCCAGATAATACCACATCATAACTGCAGTTGCAATCTGAATATTATAAAACAGCTATTTTAACTTGCAGATAAGTTGTTGTAATCTAATGTGTAGAATCCATGTGCGATAAGGCATGTAAGCATTATTAGTTTCAGCCTACAATATTAAATGAAAACTAATCTTTTTTACATTTGCTTAGAAATTTTTGATATAGAACCATATGATAGAAATAATGTATTTGATAAATGTGTGCATTACATGTTGTTTTGTCAGAACATGAACCTAAGCCTGAATGGAAGTTGAGATGATTTATAGCACACTGTTATTTTATTTATAAATCACTTAGTGGTAAAAATTTTTAGATGAGTAATTATTATAGAGAAAAAGTAATGGCAAGTGCCGATCGAGTTGAAAATATTTCATCGTCATATAAATATTTACTTATTTATGATCAAATACATTGAAAAACACTTGGTAACAGTTTTAGTTATGGTAAATGTGGATTCCCTTTGCAAAATAAATACCAATTTTGAAGCATTTAAATATTGTACAGGATCTGGCAGAAATATCTCCCCACTTTAAGACAGAAATAACTAGGACAAATAGGTCCTGTTCCAAATTTTATTTTATCAAGCACTTTGTTTTAAAGCTAATGTAATTCTATGTTTTAAAGCTAATGTAATTCTAATACCTATTATCTTGCTGAGCTATAAACCTTTTAAGCCTTCTTCTAGAATTTCTGCTACATGCATCCATTCACTGCTTTTGATATTGCTGTGTTCTCTTGGAATAATATACATATTTCAGTTTTCAACTATGCATGCATGTGTTGAGACTTAAGTTTTTATATTCTCTCCCGAAGAAAAGAAAACTATGGAGAAGACTGAACATGATGAGCAAATCATGCGTGTATTGTCACCTATTTGTGAAATGAGGCACTATCTTGTAGAATTACCATATACTAGTTTTCTATATGCATTACAACTTGTATAATTGCAAAAGTGTGTTTCCAAGATCATTATTATATATTGTAGGAAATCATAAACCTTTTTTTTCATATTATTAACATGTGACAATGACCATGCAATCTTCCTAATAAGCGTATAGATCCATGCCATGATGGCACTTGAAATGACAAGACACCCACAGGATGCTCAGTTTGTTAAATGGAGAAAATTATATTTTAATTCTGTATTCAAATCTTTAATATGAACATTTATTATATTTTATCATTGAAAAGCAAAGTAGATACATTTTTAGATTTTCGTTGTAAAATTATTGTATTTAATATATTTTATATGATTATTATTATCAAAATCGATAAATTATTTAAGAAACCATGTACAAAAAACTTGAAGTTTAATGTTTTTCATTGATAGTGTTATTAGCTTTTCACATGTGCAATGTGTTTAACAGAACTCCATCCGTCACAATTTATCTCTTAATCGTTACTTTGTGAAAGTGCCAAGATCACAGGAAGAACCTGGTAAAGGCTCTTTCTGGAAAATAGATCCTCAGTCAGAAGCGAAATTAGTCGAACAAGCATTTAGGAAACGACGGCAGCGTGGAGTTCCATGCTTTCGACCACCATATGGAGGCCTGTCATCTCGGTAAGTTGATTATAACATGTTTACATAAAAAAAGAATCAGATCATGTTTTCAAATGCCATATGATTTTAAAAACATTAGTTTTTTAACCTATTAATATTTATCTTTGAATTTTACAAGAAAGAAAGGAAAATGTGTTTATGCATTTATTTTCATAGATTTCACTGTTACCAAATTTATATATATGTCTGTATATACATAGAAAATTTTGTTTATCATCCAACAGCGACTGGAAGTTAGTTATATTAATGATGTATTAATAAGTTTTCATAACAAATAAAAGACATTCAGATTTTATTTCAGATATATGATAAAGAGTCTTAATTGAGATGATTAACTGTGGCTATTTTTTAGAATATTTTATTTAAGAAATACATATCCCAGTTTAAGGTATGGGTGCACTGAATGGATGCAATGCTTTTGTGGCATGTGTTTTATATTGAGGAAAAACACAATAAAAAAATGAATTCTGTTTCTTTTGTTATTAGCACACTGCAAAACGGCTACAAGTTGGTGCAGTATAATTTATGTCTAGTGTTTACACATCCATTTTCTTTCGAGACCTAACAGCTGTTGTTTTTCCGCTTGACCCTGTCATTTCACACACTTTTTCATTGAGGCTTCACAGACAAGCTAACATAGAATTAACATATTTACATAAAAAACTGTGTAGAAGTACTGGGAAATTTGCCTGCCTAGGAAGACCAACTGGTCAATTTTTGCAGCTGCAAAGAAATGTTTTTCTTTAAAACTCAGTTAATATTGAAATAAATAAATCTATTTATTTATTTATTTATCAGTAAATTTCAGTCAAGTAAAATAAAAGCTAAAAAATAGTAATGATTGAAATGAATAACAGAAACATAGTGAAAACTTCAGTTTGTGAATGTAAATCATTCATAAAAGACATCTGTCATCCAAAAAATTTGTAAATCAAAGTTATTTTCCCCATATTAATTAATGTAAATTGGATTATTTCATTTCTGGACCGTAGATAATTATTTATTTAGACTTTTAAGTAGCAATTTGTATACATTTTCATAATATAAAACAAATAGATATCATTAAATATTTAATAAAAAGTGGGGGATAAGAATTTAGGCAAATAATATCAGATTAAAATTTATTACAATTTGAGTTTGAGACCACTGCATTAACTATCTTTTCCCAAACACAATTTAAAGGGAAATGAAATCTGTTTAATATGATACATTTAAAATGTTCATGCCTTTTCATTTTTTAGCAGAAAAGACAACTAATCTGAAACTATTTGTTTCATAACGTCATTAGAAGTAGGTCTTACATTTTATACTCTCAACTACTGTAGCTGTAGGTTTTACATTTTGTACTCATTCTGCAAGCTTTGGATCAAAATTTTTTTTCTGTAACATGTCTTGGAAATATTACCTGATAGAGGCATGTGCACAAGAATATCTGTATATATATGAGAAAGAAATTTTTTTAAATCTGATAAAAAATGTTACACATACAATATTAATTTTTATAAAAATAAATAAAATTCAGTTAACCTTAAAAACTTTTCCTATTTCAGTGTTCACATTTACTGATTTGGTTGTGAGACAAATAACCAAATAAAGAAAACTCTAGTCGTCTTCTAGTTTAGCAGTTCATCTGATGTAGCTAGTAGCAGTTATGTAACAGTTCTTTAAAACATTTGTTATAAAACAAGTTTTACAATCTGAGAACTGTCTCCTTATTTATGTGTTGAAATAATAGGTTCTACTGTTTTCCAAATAGCAGTTTTGTATTTTTCTTTGAAAAAGTATCAAGAAGATATGGTAGCCAAATAAATTACCAGTTGTTTGATAATATAAAATTGTGTAACTATACTGAATGATATTTTAATTATATGTCTGAGTTTTTTTTTTAATTAATTAATTATTCAGAATTTTCTCATTGGATGTTCCAAAGCAAGAACTCTTGAAATGCATTTGTAAGATGATTCTAAATTTGTTGTAGCTGAACCTTTTGGAAATAACTTTTTTAAAAATTCTGTCTTGCAGATCTGCACCAGCATCTCCTAGCCATAGTGGTATGAGTGGGTTAGTTACACCAGATTCTCTTTCTCGGGAGCCTAGCCCTGTTCCAGAAATTAATCCTCAAGAATCTGATGGCAACCAGTCTTACTCTTCAAATCTTCCTCATTTTTCAACACCAGCATCTTATCTTCCAGTGCCTGGCAGTGAATCAAAACCCTGTTTCTCTAATCCTGGATCCCCTCGTGAGTGTGCATATTCTATTTTGATCATATTTTGTATAAATAAAACTATTAATCCCTTGATCTTCATTAGCCAATTCTTAGAAAGATCAAAGCCATTATTCAGTTCACTTATTTACTTGATATTGTTGGATAAAGATCATGGGACTAGAATTTCTTGTCACTGTATGATTGGAATAATTGCACTGTCAAGTAGAGTACAAACATTCCTTTTAATTCAAGACTTAGATTTCTATGGTAGATAATGTGCATTCATCTTGTGAATTCAGTAGATCACTTCTTGTTCTGTAGTATTGTAAAAATTGTTTGGGTGTAGTCTTTGTGAGACAAAAATTGTAGATAAGAGGGGGTTTTTTTTCCCCTCTCTTTAATTGTTTAACTATTCTGCAATCCCCCCCTTAAGTTGTAAATTTGCTTGTTACCTGAAAAGAACAAACATCCAAAATTGCAGTTTTGGGGTAGGAAAAGAGGGATGTTAATATCTCTCAGCCTGAGTCTTTTCATGGGTCTCTGAATGATCAAAACATGACTTCCATTCTAGCATTTGTTTTCTGTGATGTATTAAAGAAAGTCTATTCCAGTGCTTAAAAGTAAAAATCAGCATTGAACATTTATTTTATTTTTGGGAATTTACAATAAATCGTTCCCTTGCAATCAAATGTTTTCTGTATGTAAAGTTAGGTGTACATGAACTCTAAGTGCATATTTCACATCTGAAAACCATCAGTTTTATCTTCAGTGATAAAATGATAAGCTCTTGTTGTTGCACACTAATTGCTTCAAATGGTGTTCATCTTAACGTGATTAGTTTGTTTCATTTCATGCAAAACGTTTCTACTATTGATTAGGAAGTTCTTTTTATGGTTATTTCTATGAAAATTTTTACACAATTTAATAAAATAATTGTGTACAATCTTAGCATTCTTGGGTTTAATGCAGCTCATAGTTTTAGATGATTTTGGTCTTCTGTAAAGATAGATATGTTAGAGCAGTAGTTCACAACCTGTTTTGCCCGTTTCCACCTGCACCCCTTTCACCATTGCTAGATAATTGCCTCCCTCCTCCTTTCCCAAACTTGAAAAATACATGTTTTCATTTAGATTCAGATAAAAATTTTTAATATGCTTTAGAAATTTAAGAATGGAAAACGTTAATAAATGCTAAAACTTGAATGAAAGGGGTTTATATATATATATATATATATTCATAAACTAAAACTTAACAGTTTAATAAAAGGTTGACTACATCCCCTTCTCCTGAAACTCAAACTCCCCTTCCCCAGTGGTTGAGAATCCTTATCTTAGAAGGATGGTGATAAGTGTTCTCAGAAAAACTTGTCAGTTTCAGAAGTGGTTTGTTTACATGTCGGAGGTAGTTTCCATAAAAGATTTCACTGTATTATTAATGATTGAGTGCAAATTGTGTGTAATATATTTTCTTCAGAATATTGTCAACACCTACTAGTTAAACTCATATTTTAAAATTTTGTTATGTATCCTGCAGTCTTTTTCTAATGTTCCATACACCTTTGACAGATTCTGCATATTTTTCATTGCTTTTTCGAAAATTCGGTTATAAAATAATAATAATAAATTGTAAAATAATACAATCTTAAATAATAATGATTTCTATATGTCCAAAAATGTGTTTGTTTTGATTTATACAAGTCACTTTATAAAGACTTATTTTTGAACCATACTATTTGAAATTTGTGAAATAAAACGTTTGTTTTTATAATTAACTGTTCTGATAAAGAAGATGTTTTTTTCAATGTTACGACCCTCCCTCCCCCCCAAAAAAAATACCAGTAAATAGTGAGACATATTATTTTGTGATACTTACATAAATGTTATCTAAGACATTCAGAATTATTTTACTTAGGTGGTTACATGAACAACTCAACACCACAGAACATAAGTAGCAGCCTTCAGCCATCTGCTCATTATATTAAACCAAGGGTATATATACCTGTACAGCCACAAAACATGGTTAGCAATGGATTACTGGATAATGGAATACATGATGAATTTCAGCATGGCTCTGGTAAGTTTCTTTGGTTATGTTATACAGCCACATCTGAGATTTTTAAAGAATTAGATTGACTTTTATGTAGATTTTATCTTTTATACTGTTCTTGCAATTACAGTGCAGGCTATTAAAATTGCAGCATTACAAAGGCAGAACCAAAAATAACAGATCTTAAATTTTTGTGAACAGTAAGAACATGCTGTTATGTACACATGATTAGTATTTCATGGCATGCACAGATTACAGGTCAGAATAAAAACATTGAGAAGCAGTATTAAATTGTAAAGTGAAATGCTAATTTTTCATTAGGGATTTATATTTACTTGTTTTTTGTGTTGTAGGGCATCTTATGCAAACATAAGATGCCCTACAACACACACACACAAAAAGAAGTGTTTCATACCATCAAATCTCATAATTAAGTCTACAGTGGTGGTGTGATATTGTTGGATATCTATCACCTCACTTCTCAGTAAGACAGTATAAAATGATGTTTTCTCCATACTTGTTCCTCTACTTAGAGTGTATAGTTGCTGCTTTGTAAAGAAAGCATACAGCTAACCTGAAATTTGCTTGAAAAGCAGAACATGCTGGGATATATTGATATGCATGTTTCAGCATTGTGGATTGTTAGCTACGTAACATTTGCTTTAATTTCTCTTGATGCTACAGCACAGAATCACATTTACAGTTGTGTCCTTAGTGATGTGTTAATGTATCAGTGGCATCATGAGGGCAATATTCATATGTGGTGGCACTGAGAGGAGTGAATATTGGAATGTTGCATTCTTCATTTTATATTCGTCAAGATCTTTCAGCAATTGAAAAATGTAGGGTGATTAGTTGCAGTGCGATTGGCATTCCAATACCTGCTAGCCAGTATGACAAACTGGCATAGAATTAAAACCTTATAGATTGCAATACTTGTAATTGCCATTCAAAATCTGAATCAATATGCAGCCTTATAACTCTTGTTGTCAGAGGGGATGCTCAGAGTATTGATTTCTACATGAATCTCTTCATTACAATGTATTTTTGAAATAAATATAATTCTGCCAGCTGCTTTTCCTTCGTTGTTTAATAATTGCAATGGATAGCACTGTATATAAGCTGAATTTCTACTAGAAAGCAAAAATTTTGTAATCATGTAAATAGCAGTGATTATATTTGCATTATATCTCAGTTATGATTTTACAAACTGTGAAAATAATAATCTAAAAGTAAAGATAATAAGGAATTCCAATTAAATCCTTTGTAATATGAGACTTGCAAGATTGATGGTTTGGTTGCTTTGGTTAAGGATCATATTCAGTAAAATATTATTAGCCGTAAGGTGCAATTGCCCAGAAGGGCTTTTTCTACCTATGATTAGGACAAGCTTTCCCAGTAGAATAACTTAAGTTTAGAGTTTTACCAAAACTAATGTGTCTTTTATCACCTTATTTCTGTCTCATAATTACTTTGACAGTTCTTCTAGATAATACCACTTAAGTGCCATTTAGTGTCACATCTGTAATGACCAATCCAAATTTCATCACCAGGAAAAAAAATACTACAGCTGCATTGCAAATAGTTATTAACCTAGTATCGTGCTTTAGAAATCAATGAAGATTTGTCATGTCCCCTCCCATTTAAAGTTATTTATGTAATATGAAATTTTAATTACTGTTGTAATTTTATCAAGTTGTACATAAAAATTTCATCTGGAAATATCTTATTGACTTTCAGAGAAACTGTATGGACAGTTAATGTATCCCCAGAGAAATAATGATTTACAGCCAATCGATGGAACTTCCAGGCTACCTCAGCAGCCTTCAGTTATCATGCAAGCTCCGTCATCACTGACTGCCAGTTCCTATGGTCCCCAACCTTGCACAGTGTCCATATCCACAAGTGCTGCATCCATTGAGTGTCCATTTTCAACAAATTCTTCTGAGCAATTGCTCAAAGGTGCAGATTCTGAACAGATGAGGTTGTCAGTGTCCGAAAAATGTTAGTGCCAGACTGGAATGAAAATTTTAATCGGGGATGAGATTGTTATTTAGAAAAGTTATTTGCCAGAATGCACATATGTTTCTGGCATGACCTTTTGCTTTCATTCCACATGTAACCTAAAATAACGTAAAACCTAGAGGGAAAGTAAAACATTTTGGAGTTCTCTAGACTTTTTAAAAATATCCTTTTTTTTTTTTTTTTTTTTTTTTTTAACATTTATTTATAATTACCTGGCTGAAGTGAAAAGATTTTTAAGTTATCAAATTAGAGTGTTGTTTAAGATGGTATGATACCTAATAATGGTTATTTGAATCACTATAGTGTATCCAAATTGCCTTATTGCGTTATGTTACTGTAAAATGTAAGCAAAAGGTTGTACGGCTACATTTCAGCATTTCCTTGATCAAAGTGCTTTGATATAATATTTTGAATGTCTCTTCCTCTCATTTGTTGGAGAGTATTATTGTCCTTAAAACAAATGAGCTTTGCAATATTTTCCCTGTTCCCAACATTTTCATTCTAGATTTGTGTTTAATTTTTGGGGGTGCGGATTCTTAACCACATATCTTTTTAAGTACATATTCTCCTTCGTATCTTTATTTTCATCATGTTCTGTGAATATGATAAAATTATTCTTCACATTAGGTTGAAATGTGGCATAATTATTATTTAAAGTTAAGATTAAATATATACAATTGGAAAGTATAAAACTTGCTTCTTTCGTGAAGCATTAAATTTGATGAATGCAGGGATGCATAAATGATAATTTTTAATAAATTTAAGTGTCAGAAGTGTTTTATTAACTTGTTTTTAGTAATAATATTTTTCAGCTCTAACAGAACATTTTGTGGCTAGATGAAAGCTGAGTTGACTGTATGCCGTGGAATTTTCCTGTGGAACATTAAATTATTTTTTACACAATGTTGACTAAGATATTTAAAAGTGAATTAAGGAACTTTACAAATATTTTCTTCATCTTCTGAAGATACCCTTTCTAATGTATAATTATGGTATTTTCTTCAAAAAAATGGGAGAATAATAAACATAAAATTCATAAGGTACATGAGAATTTTACACCTAGAAGAAATGTTACATTTTTTATGCATATATTTTTAAAATTATTTATTGCATTTAATTTTGTAATGATTGTTTTGAAAATATGTTTTCAGTGAAAAGGTAATACTAAACAAAGATATGTTTTCACTGAAAAAGTAATACTAAACATTATTATTCCCCCTCCTGATATTAAGCATATATTAGAATTTTCTTTTCAGACACTGTAGTTCAAGCATAAATTTTATAGCTACATACTTTACACAACATATAACAATAACTTGCCCTTTTTTTCCCCCTGGGGTAATATGTGTGCATCCCTGCCAAAGTTAAATTTTACAATTCCAGTATCATTCATAAGGTTCATATGCTTTTTTAAAGTGCTGAAATTTTCAGCTTTTAAGAATGAGTTTCGATCACCTTCCTAAGCCAAAATCATCAAAGCCAAAGGTAACATTTAGTAATAGTCATTTGAAAATTTTTATTTAGTCATTGGTGTAGTCACTAGCTATATTTTTGTTTAAAGAAAACAACTGTAAAAATCTCTAATCAAGAAATTTTCTGAAGATAATATCAGCATTGTTCTTTCTTTTTAAAATAATTAAAGCTGTTCTACACCAAAATCATCTAATTTAACTTGCTGATGCTCTAAAATACCTGTGATATGTTTTATTTGAAAATGAATAGCTTTATGTATATACTACTCTAAAAGGGTATTTATAAATATTTCTGGAGAGAAATTCATGTGAAAGTTTTTGTGCTTCCACAGTTTGTTTTATGCAGTCAAAAACTGGAATTCTTTTATAAGTTTACGAACTCTTACACTGAGCTATACAAAAGACAATTTAGTATTTACTAATAATCTTACAAAACAATATGATTAGGTAAATTTTTTGTTATTATGAAATAGGGTATCTAAATTATTAAGCCATATACTTAATAAGTAGGCATAAGAACATGTGGATTTAAGGTAACATATTCGTTTTTATACAGGACATTCTTGTGTGAATGATCAAATTTTTTAGACTCATGTCGCAAATGTTAATATTTAAATAATATTGTGGATTTGTTGTTATCCTTCGCATACAAGAATTGTTATTCATGTGTTGTTCAGAGTACACATATTTCCAACATTTTGTGTTGAGCTTTTCTCTGTTCCTTGCCCTTCCTCATTTCATACTGCAAAGAAAATTTAAATTTTTAAAAAGACATGTAAACATATCATCCCTAATTATTTTTTTCACAAGTTTGAAAGCTCTTTGCATCATTGGGCTTGTATGTCATGCTTGGGTTTTTGATTTATCATTGAAAAGATAATGTATGATTCTGTCTTTGTACAATTATGATAAAGGAAGAAAACAGCATTTCACCTGAAAGTGGATGTTGTCAAAATTGTGAAAACGGAAAGAGACAGTTGAACTGGAGAAAATGTAATAAAACCCAAGATGGCATAATAAAAGTATCAATTCTGTGTTCTAGCAGTTTTTTGTATAAAAGAGAAAAAGATATATGCTATAATCTACTTATATAGTCCCTTGCAGCTTTTGAAGCAGATTAATATGGGAAAGCTAATAAGTATTATTCATTTTGATATGAGTTTTGAGTATGTTTAACTATGTAATACATAGGTTTTAAGTAGAAACTCATTTCAGGATGATTAATGCCTTTTTAAAAATTGTGAATTGTACAGAAAAGTTATAGATTATATTTTATTGTAGAATTCTTATTCATTGTTGACTTTTGTTTGTTAACTGGTGAGAACATTGTAATATTGTTATATTTTGTTTAATATTAAAATTTAAATTTTTGTTGAAATTTCCATGTTTTAATATTGAAAAGACATGTGCATTTTGTTAAAAAGTCCAGATTTTCTATAATATATAAGAAATAATGTATGCAAGACATCAGAATCATGATAAATTTGGAATTCTATCAAATTATACATTTCTATCAATGTTTTTGCAGTATAACACAAATTTTAAAAATCACAATTTCCAAACAATTTTTCTGAATTGTAAGAAATGCAACCAGTAATTTATATATTCTTGAAGATGGCATGTTAAGATATACATTAATAAGTTTTCTGTTTATGGTAGATGTTCATTCATTTTATCGGTTAAGTAATACCAGCTGACCAGTTTTTTACTTAATTTTTTAAATTTTGTTTGTAATTTTTTTGTGTTTATTTGGCTTAGTTGTGGTTTTAGTACTTAGGAGAAAAATTTTTCAAATTAATATCATATTGCACATAATAAAATCTCTTGCAAAGTTTAATATAAACTTTTTTCTGCTGTATGAAATTGCATTCCTTTTCATTTATTCATTATATTCTTATTTATTATAAAAATTGTATTTTTAAAAATGTTCTGTGCTGATCTTGATTAACTTTCAGTGATTAAGAAAATAAATTCTATAAAAGTAATTTAAAAAAAATAATTTAAAAAAATTTTTTCAATATAAAGTGCTTATGCAGCTCAAATTAAGTAATTTAATTCTTACTGTCTCTTCCTATTTCATTTAAAGCAACCTGGAACATCTGTCTAAACACAAAGCCTGTTCAGAATTAATTTGAAAATGTGAACTCAACTGTTAACTCCATTTAGAATTAATTTTTAGTATAATTTTCTAGTTCAGTACTTTCCTTTTTGATTTCATGATATAAATTAATTTTTATGCTTTTTATGGGGGGTTAACATTATCATTACATAAATTCAGTTGGCAAAAATGAATACTAATTCTAAATATGTGCTTCCAGTTACAAAATTTCTCAAAACAAGATATAAAATTTTATGGGGACAGTTTCAATAGAGTTAGATTCTGAGTAAAATATAATTTTTTATGTGACCTTCATAGAGCAATAATTTCAATCAGTAAAATACTCATTATATTTTGATTAGTTTTACAAATGTATAAGCAAACAGTAAAATTATAAAACAAATTAATTCCATACTTTTATGTGCAATATTAAGGATAAATTTATTCACTTTGATCAATGAGTGATTATCAGAACAGTTTTGAATGTATTGCCAGTTGGAATTTTGCTGAACAAAAGCCATAAAAAATTACGATTTTATATTTAGGGTATCTTTTTACTCATAGTGTTAAAACTGTGCTCATAAAATTCTGTATATTACATTGAGAAGTTGTGTAAAGGTATGTTAACTTAGATTCTCCATAGAAAGTTCCATCTCATTCAGTATTTTTAATAAGAAATATCTTTTTCCATTAACAAATTTTAGTATACAACAAAAATGTTTTAATGTCACTATCTGGAATGGCCACAAAATAAATTTTTTATTTACCTATGAAACTTCATTTTTTAATGTTTAAGATATTTCTGTTCCCACTTTTAGAATGAATTTAAAAAATTAATAAAATCTAAAGGAGTTTTGAGAAGGTTAATTTTTAAATTAGTGAGTACAATCTAAATTGTGTATATGATCTTGCATGCATTATTACTGAACCCCAATAAGGTTAAATTATTATGTAGATATATAAAACCAAATTTCGATAATTGTGCATCGAGCTTATGTGCTGGGACTATTTTTTTATGAAATGCCGTTTAAATGAAAAATGAATCTTAACATTTCAGCAAAAATTATCAAACTTTATAAAGTATTAGGAAAAAATTTACATTTCACGTTAATGCTTCCAATCACATATAGGGATTACTGTTATTTTGAGGCAGGAATTTAAGCCCAAGACACGAGTTGAAATTTCAGGAGGTGCAAACACTAAATTTTCCAGGAGTATGGAGAAAGTTGGGTGTTATTGTTTTGATGCCCAATAGTCCCTTATTATTATTATATTGATCAGTAATATTTAAATACATGTGAAAACACAGTTGAATAAGTAATATTTTGATTTTAAGGACTTTTTTAATTTACATCATTTCTAGATACCTGAAAAAATTAGCTTTAACTTTTCTGTATATGCAAATATATATTTTATTCAGTAAGTAGGAAAAAAGACAGTTTTTTTACTAAGAACTTATTGATTTGAATAGCTGAAGAAGATTAAAACTGTAAAATAAATTTACATCAATGTCTGTTTACATGACATATATTTTTGTGTGTATAGATAAAAAATTGAATGTGTTCATAATTTTTGTTTATAATGTTTGTGCATAAAATATTGACTTTCGTTATTCAGGTTTCTAAAATGGCAAAGAATCTAACTTATGATTTAAATATTTGAGATGAATATAAATTTGTGCATTATTATTTGAAGTTTTATAGCCTCAAAATTATTTTTAAAAACTCATATGTGATTGGATACTTTAAAGTAACTTACTAGTCATATTACCCAGTGTAAAATTACAAATGAATCATGAAATTTTATTTCACAGCTAAAGATATATTTGCTTTCATAATACATATGCTATATGTATAATTTAAATATATATATTTGAAAAAAATTGGTTATGTACTATTTTTCATATTAGTTTTATAGCATAAAGTAATGTATGCAAAGAAATTAAGAAAATGCTGACTGTATATCATTTTTCTTTTTGAAGTTTACTTTATCATGCAGAGAAATTAAAAAAAAAAAAAAAAAAAAAAGTTTCTTGTCATTATTGTTGACTGTGCCTATAATAGCATTCCATTTTTGTGTTCTGCAAATAATGATAAAAAAGAAAGTCCCCCCTCTTATTACAAAATTTTAAATTTCACTTGCCTCTGCACTGGATTAATAGTTATATGAATGTTTTTTATATTTGGAATAAAATACAATTGTCTGTATTGGAGTTTGAATTTTAAAAATACAGACAATAACTTCATGTATTCCATGTTTAATTGAAGTTTGCCAAAAAGTAATAAATGCTTATTCACATTCTTATTAGTTTAATTCTTAGCATTTATCTTAAATACTACTTTTAAATCATGTATAAATCTCTGAAAAATACAATAAAATAAAACAAAATACAGTGGTACCTCGGTAAACGTCCAACTTTACAAATGTCCTGTTTAGTTGTGAAACTTGTTTAGTATATGGTTTGAGTATAATGAGTCATGACTGTATTAGGAAAAAGTGCAGCAGTGAAAAAATTGTCAGGATCACTATGGAGGTGAAAAACGATTTTTGAAAAGTATAGATGGCATGCATATTCAGGGCTTGTTTATTGCATACCGTATGCCAAGTATGATGGTTTCTAAGATTTTGAAAAACTAAAATTGGCTAATGTTGCAAAGGGGCTGAAATGGCATGTTGAAAAATTGCTTTTGATCTGGTTAGCAGAAAAATATGTAGAGTATCACATGCAGTGCTTCATTTATATACTGTGTATATTTCACTCACTGAATTTATATTTTAATATTAAACAGTGTTGTACTATTTTTAATAAGAAATTATTTTGCTTTTATTTTTATTGGAAAAGTTAGTTTAGTACATGTCCAAGGATCTGGAACAGATTAATAAGGTATGCTGTGGTACCACTGTATGTAAAAAATCTGATGTGTACACCACATGACTTCCTTGTATTGGAATATTAAATTATACGCTTTTTTTTTTTTTTTTTTTTCATTTTATTTAAACTTATTCGATTGAATTAAATCTACTTCGCCGACAGCGCATAAACCACAATAGAATAAATGCATTCTTTAAAATTCACTCTAGTATTTGTTTACCATAGCGACACTCTGGCGCTAGACTCACTTAACAGTATTAACAATTATATAATAATTATATAACGGAAACTAAGTTAACTGTTATATAATCCATAATTATATAACAGTTAACGTATATATTTCGTTCAAATTATAACTCGTAATGCACAAAATTTATATCATTTAAAAATTAGAATTATCTAATCATTGCCACATGTTCTATTCAAATACTATAATAAAGCTAGAATGATGTATAAAAGAAATTAAGCAAACAAAACAAAAAAGAAACAGTTTTTCACAGACGATTGAGTATTTCTCATTCAATTAATTCAGTTCTCACTTCGCGAGAAGGCAAAAATACATAAAAACTCAAAATATCTATATTAAAAATTACGAAGTAAATCTCAAACGCTTATTTCGTCGAAAAAATTCCAGAAAGAATTAAGCATGATTTAATTGGCAATAATAAATGAAAGCGTTATCTTTGTTGTTGCGAAGCTAAGTTTCTCAAAATTAGCAACAAATCCACTAGTCTCCTGTTTCAAATGTAAACATCAATGGCTGCCATTAAAAACGGGCTTAGCAACAATTAAACAACTTTAAAATTGCTGATAATTCTAAAAATATTGCACACAGATTTACTAAAGGCATAAAATCCTTAACCAGGAGATAAAAACAACATAATTCAACCATTTTTAAAGCAAAAAATGTACAATTTACAAACGTATAAGAGTAAAGAAACTGAGATCACTGAGCCGGGTAACAAAGTGGATATATGTATATATTTATATACGTTTGGTGTGGCCGATTGCAACCAAAATACGAGGTGCACATCTACATGTTATAGCAGTCCTATATACAAAATTTCAACATTCTGAGGCTACTCGTTTTTGAGTTATGCGAGATCCGTGCGTATGCACGCAAACACGTGCATACGTACGTTCGTACAGACGCCACGAAAAATTCTCTTCAGAATTAATTTTAAAGCAGTTTTATAATTTTTTTTGAAGGAAGAGTATTTTATTCTGTCCTTACGTACAGATATCATGCAAAAACATCGTTAAATTGCATTCGATAGCGGTCAAAATGGATATTTTCATTGAAATATGCTGCCTGAAACTTTTCGCGATTACAATACTTCCTTTACTTTTTTTACTTCGTACAAGGAAGTAAAAGATTGCTTCTTGTATTAAATTTTTTATGGTTTTATTTTTTTTTTTTTTTATTTTTTTTTTTTATTTTATTTTTTTTTTTTTTTTTTTTTTTTTTTTTTGTCATGAATTCTTTCAAAATAGAACATTGACAAATTAAGATAAACCTTAATTTATTCAATATGCCTGATGCCAGCATATTTATATTTGAATGATTTTATAATAAACAGTAGTAAATAAGTTTGTTGAAAACTAGAATAAGTGGGAGTGCTTACACCAGCAAGGCACTCAAGTGCTACCTTAGGTTGTTGTAGGAAGCAAACTCCTATTAATTCAGGTCAAACTGTCAGTCAGCATTCAGCAAATTTATGCTTAAATCACAAATGGACATATAATGAAGTTTAAAAAAATCAGTTGCTTTTTTTTAGTGTTCTTATAATACGTTCCTTTTTTGCATAAAAATATTTTTCACGTATAACTTAATTCGAATTAAAATAGCAAAAAGAAATAATTCTTTAACATTATTTTATTTTGATTTATATGAAAACACTAAAACTAGGAACTTCTCATTTGTAGTTTCCTGCATTATCATAGGCTGTCGGCACTTAAGGGCAAGGCAGTATTTTAATAATACAAATGGTCCTTGGCACTTTAGCTTCCATTTTTCTTTTCTTTGAGAAGTACGAGTTGTACACTTCATTTGTAAGAAAAACACAATTACTGATATTTAATACATTTTCATCCGATTATTTTTTTTCCTAGAAAGGGATTCAGTGTTTGGCTATGAGTACAAAATGAAACGTTAAAATGTTGCTAATTTTCCAGAGTGGATGCTAAATGATATTTGTGTAACTGAAAGTTTTTATCTAATGAATTAAAAGTAACATCTTAAAAAGTTCTTTTTATTCACAAATGAAGCAAAGCGATAAACTTACAGTATGAAAATAAACTGAACAATGGGAATGTAGCTAAAACATTTTCATTTTTCATAAATTAATGGCACTGATTAGACAAACTTCTGCACAACATACAGATATACTTATTTTGCTATACAGAATAAAAACTTAATTATAATTAACATGTCTTAAATATAAATGCATTTTCATTTTACTTGCTAGGCACTTTTTACCTTTCAGAAAGTAAAATAAAATTTTATAAAATCATCCTTTTTAGGATGCTTAAATCTTATCACACTAAAAGCCTTCAGATTGATTGTTAGATCTCTTAAATGTAAAAATAGACACATATGTTGAATTATTACTCCATATTCATTTTTTAATTTACATTAAAGATATGAGATTCAAGTATATTTCCATTTCATTTTTTTAACCACTAATTACAATAAAAGCCTACAAAATGCACACATATAAACAAAGATACAAACTTTAAAAAATCATGAAATTAAATGTTTCACATGTACTATGCAAATGAAACTAATCTTGTGACGAGACCGCTGTTTCATTACTACTGAAACATCCAATGTTACTTCAATATATACATGCATGCTTGTTGAATATAAATTTTACACATTTTCGGTATATGGGATCTTGGCAGATATGAATCATGAATTACTCAGGTCACAAACCAGATATGAGGAAATGCATGAAATTATAAGCTACTTTCATTCATCTGTTCAATATCAACAACTTGCCCATTTATGCCATTTACATGTCGATGATCACGAGATCGCAACCGCTGTTGCCTAAAATTTTCATAGTGAACCAGACGAGTAACATCAACCAAGTCTTGCATGTGCGTCCTAAAAATTGGGAGAAATTCGTCAAACCAGCAATATAATTTTTTTTTAATTTCATGCAAATATTCAGAGATACGGAGTTTATGTGAAATCTGCCATTTCCATAACAGATTCCCCCTTCCTCCCTGGTTAGCACAAAATAAATAAAAGCAAATTTTCCTTTTAGTTGGGCGGGGGGACTAAGAAATAAAGTTTGTTTTTGATCAGAGAAATTTAATTACAATATAATGGTTGCCCATTTCAGTCTCTTTTTTTTTTTTTTTTTCGTTTTTGTTGCAAGTGTTTTCTTGGCTTGTACATTTCAGTTAGATGTCAAGTGAAATTTTTGTTGGGAGTTTTCAACATTTGATACATAAAACCTCATGATAAAGTAGACCTTCCAACAAACTTGGAGAACTTGCCATATGTCACAGAAACAGATAATATAGAAGCATCATTGACTCTTTCAGGAAAGCTCCGTGACAGGCATAAGTTTACTCCATGGCTCTTGCTTATATGATCTATGATCTTTGTTATGGTATTTTTTAACTCGTGGAAAATAGGAATGAATAGAATTCCCAACAGGTTTAAATAAAATAATTAAAAAATTTACAATATAGAGCAAAGTTTATTTTTTTAAATCTCATCAAATGAATTCCTCTTTATATATAACAAGGCATTACAGTAGTTTAATTCTTTTTGGGGGTTTACAAGCCATTTTCAAATTAATAACTTAATGGTAGGATAAGAAAATACTGGAATTTTTGCTGCCTTTACTTAACATTAACTAGCCCAGACTATAAGAAAAGGGAATTTTCATGTGGGAAGTTTAGATACACTTACTTGGAAGGATAATTATGCCTGAATCAGGAACATGAAGTAGCATTGAATAATATTCTAGATTTTTAAAGCAAATGTTCTAGAAGCTGAGAAGGCTGGTCCTGAAAATAATGTAATGGTTTTAAAATTAAATGATGGATTAACTCATTAAACCTGGGATCTCTGATGACATAAATTATGAACATTTGCATCATACACAACTGTCCTACAAGTTTTGGTTTTATTCATATTTTTTTAACAAATTTTAGAAATTCCATACTGAAGATAAAGTAACTGTTTGCTAGGACTTATTTTTAATATGCCACATGAGAGAAACTTATTTAAACTATTGTTATTACTCTACAAACAAATTTATGCATATTTTTTAGTTTTACTGTATACCTTTCTTTAAAACTTAGGCTTTAAAGAAACTTAAAAGTCAATAAAAATTTAGGGTTTCTTTTGTTTGCTTCATTTTCAATTTCAAATAGGAATTCCCAATTTTATTCAATGTTGATCTCATCTAAATGTGAAAGCAGAAATTTTAGAGCTCCTGTTGTTGCAAATTTTAAAATTTTATATAATATTTTACAGAAAATTTGAGTGAATGAGAAATTTTGTTTGCTTAAGAAAAAATTCTACGGGAAGGTTTGGTTGACCACTCACAGGCAATTTATTTACTATAATTAATTTCAACAGTAGATTTCTTCAAAAATTAATTTAACACCATTATACTCAATTAACTTCAGGAAAAAATCTACTGTGGAAATTGTTTTATAACTTTATATTATCATCATGAATACATAATAAAAAAATGTAGCAATGTTGATAGCTTAGAACATAGTTCCATATTGAAAAAGAAACTTGGCAGAAAATTATAATTAGAACTAGAAATAGCCTCTTAATCTTCCTCTCTATTCTAAAAATAGTAAGCTTTATTCAGACTGCATTATTCCTAGATCAGTACATTTCATATGACTTGCAAAATGCTGATGACGTAGCTGATTCGGAACTTGAACTCAAAATTTTGAAAACTGATATTTTCTCTAAATAAGCAACTTAAACTGAAACCTTTTCTTGGTGAGCTTTGAAGTTGGATAACTGTGATACTGTTACTTAGGCTGGTCTCGGCGCAAACTTCATCGCGCTCTTACCAGCTCCTCAGGTGCCCCTTAACAAGGATTCCACGTTGTATGAGACCTTATGCGTACCCCCCAAAGTCCTGCTATGCTGCCTCAACGTGGCGGGGGGGGTGTCTGGGCGGAACGGGCGAAGTACGTCAGGAGCATAGCTCCTGGTAGGGCCACCCTAGGCGTGAAGGCCATTCCAACATGCCCAGCTAAAGCATAGCAGGTGAAGAACCCTCAGGGGATTGCCGTCTTGGTGATCGGGTATCACACTCCCGGGGCCCCAGTGACCTTTCCTCCTCTCTCTTTCCTCTCCTCTTGTCTAGCTCTCTCTCCTATTTTTCTCCCTTGTGGTTTCCTCTACTGGAGGTTGGGGCTCACTGTGAGATGCAGCTACTACTCTTAGTTTCTGTTTCACCATGGTGAGAATACCGCCTATGCGTTTGCCGTGCATGGTGACCCGTAGGGTGGGAAAGGAGGATCCTGGCAGTTGAGGGGCGAGGTACTGTCCCCAACACACTGCTTTGGCCTCTGCTTCTACTTAAAACGGGAGGCAACTTAGCTGTCCCCGCTAGTGTCAATCGGCTGGCCACTAGTCCTATTGGTCAGTGGCTAGGGGATAAGCTCTCGGAAGTCTCCGCTTTTGGGAAAGCCGACTGTGGGGCTTCAGTTTGCGTATAGGCCCGGCTAGCCCTAACACAGGGATCTGTGTTCCCTTGTTGGGCTCCATGGTGGGTGGGGCGGTCGGGCCCGAAACCTTTCTCTCTTTTCAATATGAAAACTTTAACTTCTTCTCCTAACCATATGGATACGAAAAATTCTGGAGCTGCTAAAAGAATTTGTACTTCGACCTTAATTAGCACAAACAAATGTCCAAAGTTCTTAGTTATCACTGGTGAGCTAGAAAATCTATCACCATTCTTCATCCATAAGCATATTGTGGCCTCAGCAGGCGAGCCAAAACACATAAAAAAGCTCCGTTCAGGATCTCTGCTCATCGAGACTACATCTGATGCACAATCTTCCTCTCTCCTAAAAATGACCAAAATGGGGGAACATTCTATTACTGTATCCCCACATAAGTCTTTGAACACGTCAAGAGGTGTCATTTCGGAAATAGACTTGATATCAGTCTCTGAGGATGAACTTTCAAAAGAACTCGCCGAGCAAAATGTATGTGGCGTCCGCCGAATAAAAGTCCGTAGAGACGGGCAACTCGTCAACACAAAACATCTTATTCTGACTTTCTCCTCTCCAGAGCTACCGAAAGCCATTAAGGCAGGTTACCTGAATTGCCCCATCAGACCTTACGTGCCGAACCCACTGCGCTGCTTCAAGTGTCAACGGTTTGGCCATGCGAAGGCCGCATGCCGGGGAAACCTGGCATGTGCTCGCTGTTCTGCAGGTGGTCACGAAAGTCAGGAATTGTGTAGCTGATCCAAAATGTGCAAACTGTCATGCCAATCATCCAGCATACTCATGAAACTGCCCTAAGTGGAAAGAAATACAGCATATTAAGACTACAAGAAAAATCTCCTATCCTGAAGCTAAGAAACGTTTTAGCACGGGTCAGTCAAAAGCAAATGTCTCCTATGCACAAGCCACTAAATCATATCGGTCAATAAGTACACAAACATCGCATAGCACACAGAAGAAGATACCTGAACCAAAAACAAATGACAAAGAAAAAGTCTTTCTTCTACCTCCTCCCAAACAGACAATAGAAAGTCGAGAAATAAAAACACAAGAAACAGAGAGTTCAAAAAAGAAAATCAAAAGCTCAGAAAAGAGAAGCTCAAGCCGAAGCTCTATTGAAGGGACCTTTTCAGACTTTATCGAATCTGAGATGGAAACAGATGGAGGCAGAGATCTCTCGAAAAATGTTCTACCTCACAAAACAAAGAAACAGCATCGAAGCAATAAACATTCCTAATGGCTACTCTCATTTCGTGGAACTGCCGGGGCTTCTATCAGGGTATTGATGGCATTAAGCAACTTATTAATAAATATCGACCTATTTGTATAGCGATACAAGAGACATTCCTCAAACCTGGTAATTTTGCAAAGCTACGTAGATACTCGATGACAAGAAAGGATAAGACATTCAGTGAACGCGCAAGTGGTGGTGTCTGTCTACTCACCTCAATTAATTGCCCTTCGAGTGCTCTCCCTTTGGATACTCCTCTCCAAGCAGTTGCAGTACAGTTGAGCATTCGAACACTGACTACTGTCTGCAGTATTTACATCCCGCCTAATGAGAACATTAATTTAAGAGATTTAGAGGATCTAATTGCCCAACTACCAGCTCCGTTTATTCTAGTCGGTGATTTCAATGGACACAATCCCTTGTGGGGTAGTAAAGACACAAACCCACGAGGAAAGCAAATTGAACAGCTACTCCACGACCACTGTCTCTGTATCCTTAACAACGCAGAAAGCACTTATTTTCATCAGCCAACAAGGACCTTCCATTCCATTGACCTTGCTATTGTTTCTCCACAGCTTTTGCCTTTTGTTTCTTTAATGTCGAGAATTATCTATATAATAGCGATCATTTTCCTATTATCATAAGCATTACAGGAAATAGGAGTGTGTTTATACCTAGAACACCACGCTTTTTGTTGGACAAAGCCGACTGGGACTCTTTCTTACATTATGCTCTTTTTACTGAAGAAAAAAGTAAAGAATGTGCACATTGATCAGGCTGTGAAGATCATTACAGATAAAATTATTCAAGCAGCTGATATATGTATACCAAAAACGTCGGTAAAACAGCCAAAATACCCAAAGCCCTGGTGGAATCCTGAATGCCAGGATGCCATCAGAAAACAAAGGAAAGCTTGGAGCATTTTTCGGCGATATCCTTCAGAATCAAATCTCATAATATTCAAAAGGGCTAAAGCAAAAGCTTGGCAGGTGCGAAGGAAAAGTCAGAAGAATTCTTGGATCTCCTATGTGTCTTCAATTAGCTCTTCAACTTCGAGTAAGAAAATGTGGGAGAGAGTCCGGAAAGCGTCCGGTATCTACAAAGAGTACACACTTTCCATTTTAAAGACAAGTGGTGAAACAGTTACTAGTAGGGAAGAAATTGCCAACGCTATTGGACAGAGTTTCTCAGCCGTCTCACACAGTAGTAACTACCCTCTTGAATTTCTTTCCGCAAAAAAAATGCATTGAAAAACAACTAATTAATTTCAACTCTCCTAATACTGAACCATATAATCAGGATTTTACTGTGCTTGAACTGAAAAGAGCTCTGTTGCAGACAAAAAATTCATGTCCTGGTCCAGATGATATTGCCTATCTTATGCTGAAACATCTTCCTTCCAAGTCATTGGCAACCATCCTCTTTCTCTTTAATAGAGTATGGAAGGAACAAGTCTTTCCAAATGCCTGGAAAATGGAAAATAGCTTTTGTCATCCCCATTGTTAAACCGGGAAAAGACCCTACTAATCCGTCGAATTACCATCCCATCGCCCTAACTAGCTGCCTCTGCAAACTCTTTGAAAAGATGGTCAACACTCGTCTGGTCTATTATTTAGAGACAAATAATTGTATCTCCCCTTATCAGAACGGTTTTAGAAAAGGAAGAGCAACTATCGATAATATCCTACTCTTAGAAACAGGTATCCGTAGAGCGTTCGTTAGAAGAAATCATTATGTTTCCATTTTCTTTGATATAGAGAAAGCCTATGATACCACCTGGAGATACGGTATCCTTCGTGACCTATATAACAATGGTTTACGAGGAAACATGCCGATATTCATCAAACATTTCCTACAGGATCGGAAGTTTCATGTGAAGATAGGCGATACACTTTCTGACATGTTCCATCAAGAAGAGGGCGTTCCGCAAGGAAGTGTATTAAGTGTTACATTATTTAGTATAAAAATTAACTCTATTTTAAAACAACAACTGCCTCCAGCAGTCCAGGGTATGCTCTATGTCGATGACCTGCAAGTCAGTTGCCAGGGAGAAGACCTGAAAGACATTGAATGTAAACTGCAGACATCTCTCTCAATAGAATTGTTAAATGGTCACAGGAAAATGGTTTTAGATTCTCTACTCAAAAGACTGTGTGTGTACATTTCTGTCGAAAGAAAATTCCTCACCCTGACCCCGAACTTTATCTGCAAGATGTGCTGATTCCTGTAGAAAAGGAAATAAAATTCCTAGGAATGATATTTGACCATAAGCTTACGTTCCTCCCCCATATTACCTATCTAAAAAAGAAATGTTTAAAAACTATGAATATTCTGAAAGTACTGTCAAATACTTCTTGGGGTGCTGATCGAAGCTCAATGCTTCTTATATATAGAGCTCTCATTCGTTCGAAACTAGATTATGGATCAATCATTTATGGGTCGGCAAGGCCTTCAGTATTAGCCAAACTTGATCCGATACATCACCATGCACTTCGGATATGCACTGGTGCCTTTAGAACTTCTCCAGTGGAAAAGCTTATATGTGGAAAGTAACGAGACCTCCCTGCGGTTAAGACGTGAAAATCTTTGTTTTAAGCATTATTTCAAAGTCTTATCACAAACCGAAAATTCTACGCGGTCAAAATTGCTTAATGACCAATACTCCCGTTTATATCAGGCACGACCATCATGTGTCCCATCTTTCGGCTTGCGGATGAGTGCTTTGGTGGAGGAGTATAATTTGTCTAATATAGATATACAGATGGAGGATTTTTTTGGAATTCCTCCCTGGGAGGATTGGAGAATCCATTCTCTGGATACTTTTCGACACTGGAGTAAATCACAAACTAATGAAATCATCTACAAGCAGATATTTTTTCAACATAGAAACAAATATAGGAAATATATCCCTCTATATACAGACGGATCAAAATCCCAGGATCATGTTGGCGCTGCTTTCGTCACAGGAAAAACAATAGTAGGGGTTCGATTACATACAGTTTGCTCTGGTGCTTACTTCTGAGCTTACTGCAATCCATCTGGCTTTGACTTACCTTTCAAAACAAAAGTACATAAAGTTTATTATCTACACAGATTCCATGAGTGCCTTAATGTCATTGAAAAATCACGCTCAATGTACTCATCCAGTTGCAATCCAGAATCCTGAAGTTGAATCATTCTTTAAAAATTCGGGGATACCAGATTCTATTATTCGTGGATCCCTGGACACGTTGCCATTAAGGGGAATGAATTGGCGGATATTGCAGCTAAAACTGCAACCACAATGTACAATCTTCAGATTCCACTAGCAGACATCAAAGGGTTTGTCAAAAGCAAAATCCTCAGCAAATGGCAGAAAAGCAATGGGATGACAAAGTATATAACAAGCTGAGAAATGTAAAACCCACCATTGGATACTGGCCATGTATGGCTAATAGAAAGGAGATGTCCTCTTGATTCGACTGAGAATTGGCCATTGTCGACTGACCCATGAGTATCTTCTGAAGGGAGAAGAGAAGAGAATCCCAGCTGCCCAAACTGCAATGCAGATCTGACAGTCTATCATATCTTGGTGGAATGCCAGAGTTTTAATTATTTTCGCCAAAAACATTTTAATTGTTCAGAACTGGACTTAGGAAATTTAATTGGAAAAACACATCATCGTAATTTGTTTCTGTTTTTAAAAGATATTGGCTTTTATAATAGACTTTAACCTGTTTTTTAAAAGATATCAGCTCTTATCATAGACTGTAATCTGTCTCTTCTTACCTAAGCTGGAAGTTTTTACAAATGACTAATTGCATTGTTACCATTTGTCTGGCGCAGATAACCTTGACAGGTTTTGTGCCAAATTACAATAATCCAATCCAACCCAATCCTTATGCGTAACTGTGTACTTAACCTTCTACTTAATTTCTTGTTAAGATGCTATTACACTCTGCTCTATTCCTATCACAACAGTATCAAAAATGTAAATACTCGAAAGAGGTACCATTGCAGTGCCAGGTGAATCGTGGCCACAAATGTCAATTGAAATAAAAATGAATATTTTATCATCCATGGCTACTATGTTTGCTGTTCATAATGGATTTAACATTCTACATCATTAACATTGCTATGTCCTTTTTCATCATACTTCAATAGCATCTTTAGAAAGAGTTCCCACTTAATATTATTTTGAATTTTATAAGTACCACATAAATGTCAATGTTGTGCAACAAACTAAAGTTATTAATTTCCTTAAAAGATATACATTACCTAATTAGCATATCCCTGAGGTCAGGGAATTCACAGTGAGCTCTGTTTTCAACTTCAACTGTACCCCACTGTGTCTTCCTTCCATAAATAGTTCTCCCATTTATTTGGTGTTGCACATTGCTGCCTACTACTGCATAGGGTATCATTTCCTAAACAGGTATGGAATGTTAGCAAGTAATTACAAACCTGGATATTAATATTGTTCATGCTTTAAAAAATTATAAAACTATAGAGATATAAGATGAATCTATTATTACTAGGACAAGATAAATTAATTTCATCTTTCCAAATGAGTAAATTTATATAATAAGCAAAGCAATGTACTTCGACATATAGATTACTTAAAGATGTTTTGTTAGAAATCAAACTCCTTTATTTCTTATTTTTTTTCAAAAAGTTATAAAGTCTGAAATTTGGACGACAGAACTGTCTAAAATCCAAACCATGAGCAACTTTTTTTTCTTTTCTTTGCTATGCTTTACACATGCACATTTTGATATTTTTCGCACAATAAAATGTGGGAGAGTCCGGATTCTTAATTTCACTTTGCATTAAATAAAATATACTAGTTTCCAGAAATTAGGGAAAAGTCACAAAAATAGTGATAACTCATTCAAAAATAAGCAAATCCATATAAAATTTGAATATGATGTCAAATACGATTTACTGAGTAAAACTGTAGTATGCAAGTTACTGATGCTAAAATCAGAATATGTCATTTATTAGGAGCATGAAATTGCATGTAAACCTGCAAATTTTGCTACAATACTTAAGAAATCTGGGATACATAATTCATAACAATGACCTCCAAGCATCATTTGCCCGAAGATCTGTGATAGAGACTAGAGGCAGGACAAAGTCAGATAGAAGTGGCCAAATGGCTAAATTAGTCCTGTGGTTCATAGACTTTGGCAACAATTTATAATCACAGATTCGGGGCAACTAGAAGTTCAGCTAAGGATGGCCAACCGCTATGACGAGTGCCGACATTTTTTGGGCACGAAAGAATCCCGCAACTCCGACCCTCCCTTACTGCAGCTTATCAGAAGGTTGGTGTCAAAGTCAATCATTCATAGAAGGCTTCACAAAGGAGGTCTGTAGCAGTAGTGGAATTTACACAAAGATTAAATTTAGGAAAATCTTCACTGCAGAGTAAACAATGCATTTTAAGTTAGTATTAAGGTTTGGATATGATTTAGTGGTTGCATAAAACAAACAATCCAAATTTAATGTAAAAATTAAAATTTGACAAATAAAAACAAAACTCCAAAAGACATGACCTTTCTTCACAATGCTTAGTTCCCGAAGCAGAATTCTGTTGTAGTATATTAAAAACACAACAAACGTAAAAACCTCTGTGAACTGGAACATCTAGTCATAATTCAGGATATAATTCAGCCATTTTTCCAGGTTTTGATATTAGTGTTGCGTGTGTACGGGTTTGTTATGAAATGAATGCACAAGTCCGAGGAAAAATGAACAAAAATTTATTATTATCACAACAAAAATGCTTAAATTTTCTCAAATTATCATGCAGTATTACAATATCTAACAGTAGTTATCTTTCAACTACTCAAATGTCCAATAGAACGTAATTCAAAACAGCTAAAGAACGCTAATCCGCTACAATCAACAAGAGCAGTTTTCTAAACAACAACAAACTAAGCAACTACTACGAACTGAGATGTTTTCCTCCTTTTATAAGATTTTAAAATCATGCGCTAGAATTTTCCAGTACTTTCTCGAAATCAAAAAGAGATATTTATTTATTTAATGTTAAATGCACGTGCTCTTGTATTTTCAATTTTCCGGGTTAGCTTTCTTCTTTTAATATTCGTCACGCGCTGCACTGCGCGAGAAATAAAACCATTTAATTTATAATTGAACTAACATTAGCTTTTTAAATACCAAATTCGTAACACTACCCCCTTCCCAAGGACTGCACGTCCTGGGCAGTACAATCCCTGGACAGGAAGCCAAACTTACAACTGAGGCATAAACTTACAACTGAGGTATAAATGCAACTGAACATTACATTACAATATCAAACAACATGAACAATAAATGCAATAAATAAAACAAATCAAATACAAATCAAATACTAAATGCAAATAAAATACTAAATACAAATCAAATCAAATACACATTTAAAAACAAAAAGGACCATGGTCTGGCACTATTTACGATATTTACACTGTTATGTACAACTAACCTGTGCATAATGAATGCCAAGTCCGATGTGCATTCGAATGTGTGTGAGCTAACCTGTCGTAATGAACGACTTTAGGTTTAGAGTTCGAAGACTTACAGATCCGACGTCATTGAGTTCGTTTTGCACTGTATATGGACCATCCGAAGGTGACTGTAATTTAGGACCGAGTCCTTTTCATTGAATCGGGTTCCACAACCATACCTTGTCTCCTTTGTTGGATCTATGTCTAGTAGCTCTCGTGTTGTATCTGGACTTCACTTTCTCCGTCGCCAGGTTGACTCGCTTTCGTACGGAACGGTGCATCACTTCAAAACGGGCCTTGACATCTTGGATGTGTTCCTCAGGCGATGAAGACGCATCCGTACGGCGATAAAACAGGTGGTCACAAGGCAGGCGAAGGTCTCGATCGAAGAGCATCTGGGATAGAGAATAGCTGGTAGTCTGGTGTTTCTTTTCGACCCTAGCATGATTTCGACTGTTTCTCGAGCTGGTTCTTTCGGACAAAGCGTCGGCATTTCCAGGTGAGGATCCCTTCTTAGGATGGATAGTCATGTCTTCAGATCCTGAAAGCAGTTTGTTGTTTTTCAAGTCTAAGGAAAAATTGTATTTCCTTAAAAAGTCCAATCCGAGTATGCATGGATCTGTAATATCCGCCACATATGCCGTGTGATGGTAGGCGGCACTTCCAAATGTGATTTTCACATTTAACTTCCCAGCTATGTCGATCTTATTACCAGACGCAGTCTGAAGGGTAACACAGGATGGCGTCCAAATAAGTTTATCTTTAAACTGTTCAGCTAAATCTTTCCTAATGATAGTAACATTAGCTCCTGTGTCAACGATCATATTGCAAGGAACTCCATCGATATTCCCATTGAATGGATAGTTCCGTTACTGTTGCCACTCACTACAGTAAATCTTGAAAGTGCTCTTTAAAACGGTGTTTTCATTATCTGGCAGCCTCCGTTCCTCGATATGGTCATTAATTTGTTTACATGCGTCGTTGCTGGGAAATGGTCTCATTTTCCGTAACCTCGGGGTATTTTGCAGTTCCTTCGTACGTGGCCTTCAACTCCGCAGTTCCAGCACTTTAGAAACTAGTTCTTGTCACTCCTTGTTCCGTCTCACGGCATTTGAATTGTCTGTTTAAAATCATTCTGCTCTTATATTTTCGTGCCCTGGGGCGTTCTGCAGTTCCGTTCTTAGGTGAGCCTTCAACACCGCAGTCTCCAGACACCTTTAGAGCCACTTGGATTCTTCTCGCTCCTACTCCGTATCAAAGCGTCGAAATTTGTCTGTAGGCTAAATCATCTAAACAAGAGCCATCAGTTGATCCACTGGCTCGTGGACTCTCACAGCTCTGACTGGGTAGCGATCTCTACTAGTTGCTTTCTGGGGCTGCCTCGAACTTTCATGGCGTACAACAGAGCGCTTTTCAAAATCCTTTTAACATCTGCCATTCGAAGAGCTTTCTGTATTTCAGGATCCCAGATGCCATCGATGAAATATTGCAGGGACAGGATTTCCCTTGTTTCTGTCGGGCACTTCGAAAAGGCATGATGTGACAGCCTTTCAACATCCGTGGCGAGTTCCTGAAGTGTTTCGGTGAGCTTCTGTTGACGGGATTTTAATTGGAGCCTGCTGTAGTCTTTTAAAAATTTCTCGCCGAAGCGCAGCTCCAAGGCGACGGACAGAGCTTCGAAATCTAGCCTTTGATTTTCGGGAAGTGTCTGCAGGATATCCGCTGCGTCTGCTCTCAGAGAAGCGGCGAGATGACAGGCCTTAGCTTGAGAGTCCCATCCATTCGCATCCGCAACAATAGAAAACTGGGTCTTATAACTTGCCAGGATGTCTTACCTATCATATGTGGATAGCTTTCAGAGATGGGACGAGCAGGCATCGGTAAGAAATTTAAAATCATTCAGAATCTTGCTTTCCTGCCGTCGCTACGCATTTCTTTTAAAGTTGTCCATTTCTTTGGCAACTGCAGAAACTCTCTTCAATTTGTTGTTGGACGGCCGAAACTCTTCTTTCGACTCGTTGCGCCACAGCCAACACTCTATCTTCTATTTCATCTTGACAGAAGAAACCTTTTCCTCAATTTGCCAGACTTTATTTTCGACAGCTCTATTCTGTCTTCCATAGCCTCAAATTTACTTTCTATTACGCAGGTTATTTCTCTTTTCATTTCGTCTTGACCTGCTTCAATCTTTTCTTGTACAGCTTTTAATTAGCCAAGTGATCCTAATTAAAAGTTACTTCACCAGCTTCCAACTTTTCGTGAACGGCTTCCAGTTTTCCTTTTTAACGGATTCTTCCATCTTTTTCTGAGCTGCTTCCATCTTTTCCTGACCAGATTCATCTCATCTTTCATTTCTTCTTTCTTCTTGTCCCGCTTTCATTTCCTGCTTAAACGAGGCAAAGGCTGATATCAACTGTCCTTAACTGCTCTTCCATCGCTTTGTATTGGCATTCAAATCCCCACTTCCTGACACCAAAAATTGTTGCGTGCGTACGAGTTCGTTATGAAATAAATGCACAAGTCCGAGGAAAAATGAACAAAAATTTATTATTATCACAACAAAAATGCTTAAATTTTCTAAAATTATCATGCAGTATTACAATATCTCACAGTAGTTATCTTTTAACTACTCAAATGTCCAATAGAACGTAATTCAAAACAGCTAAAGAACGCTAATCCGCTACAATCAACAAGAGCAGTTTTCTAAACAACAACAAACTAAGCAACTACTACGAACTGAGATGTTTTCCTCCTTTTATAAGATTTTAAAATCATGCGCTAGAATTTTCCAGTACTTTCTCGAAATCAAAAAGAGATATTTATTTATTTAATGTTAAATGCACGTACGTGCTCTTGTATTTTCAATTTTCCGGCTTAGCTTTCTTCTTTTAATATTCATCACGCACTGCACGAGAAATAAAACCATTTAATTTATAATTGAACTAACATTAGCTTCTTAAATACCAAATTCGTAACATTAGTATACATGGTATTCATTGACCATGAAAGCTCACATGGATCCTGCCAAAGTTGCACCAATTGTTCCTGGGGAATTCTGAAGGTACTGATGCTTCTTTATTTAATAAACAAGCAGTATTCAATTTTTATATTTTACAATTTTTATTCAATCTTTATTTAATAAACAAGCAGTATTCAATTTTTATATTTTATAATTTTTATTCAATCTTTATTTTATAAGCAACCAGCATATCAATTTCTACTATTTTGTTAGGCACTCTGATTTTACTGGAAGTTCTGATAAAAACACTGAGTATAAAATTTCCGTAGGTAACTGTTTCAATCTATTACTGTTTTGTTGTCCATATTTCAGCTGATTGTATCATATTCATTAATACAAACTTTTTTTTTATGGTAAAGTCCCATTACTTTGAAAATAATTCACTGCTTGCTTGTTCTGTAAAATGCAGATCTCAATTTTTAATATTTTTTTTAAATTAAAGCTATCTTATAGAGAATCAATCAGGGTTGCATCAGAAGAAAGCACAGATATTATGAGCCTGTGACATCACGCTTATTCGTAAATGTTGCTAAATTGCACTGCTCTGCAAAAGTTTCACAGCACCAGATATTTTAACAATAAAAAGAGTTGTTTAACCATGTATTATTTTAAAACTTTAAATCAATTACTTTAGCAACATTACAAATTCTGTCTGTGCAAAATGAACTGCCAACGAAGCATGTCAGAAAAATGTAATTTATATTAATTTAAACATGAAAAAAATTATGTTCTTACCCTTATTTTGTTATTCGAAATAACATCTTCTGGCTCTTCTTCTAATTCACTAATTGGATAAATATTGATGCCATTTTTCTCCAGGTCTTGCTTGATCTAAAATTATATATTTTCATATATTTTATAGACAAGTTTTATAATAAATATAAAAAGATCTTTTTCATATTGATAATTATATAATAGTAATGTATTTAATAATAAGAATAAGAAATATACAAATAAAATGTATTTAATAATAATAAGAAGAAGAAAATATACTTAATTTTTATGATAATTCTCATTTTAAGAAATTTCATAGCTTGATAAATAATAAGACAAGATGCTTTCCAGAAAGAAAATCACAATTGCTCTGTCACTTGCATTGTTATCGACATGATATAGTAGTACTTGCAATGCTTAATAGTGTCAACTAACCTTATTTAATAGAAATTTAGATATGTAAATATATTTAACAAGTCTTAGAGGATACACTACACTCTAACTAGTAGTTTCCTACAGAAATCACATGATTCTCAACTAATACATATTCCTTTAACTACACAAAGAGTAATATTTTAAAATTTATCAATAATTTCTAGCAGTTAAAAAATTACACAAGCAAATTTAAAGAAATGCAGTTTCGTATCAGCAATTCAGTATAATAAATTTTAACAAAAATCCGTAATAGAAGATGTGAAAATTGTTTTAAATATATTTTTCTTAAAATATTCCTGTTTTTACATTTAATATTTTCATTACATTTTCTTAATATAATTTTGACAATGAAGTCATGCACATAAGAATAAACATAAGGAATATTTTATTAAAAAACTAATGCCATAATAATTTATTACCAATTTACCGTTTAATAAAAGAATTCAAATCCCCAAAAGCGAAAAGTTGTTTAAGAGCTCTTCATAAGGAAAAATTAATTTCAAAATGCTTATGTTTCACTTCTTGCTTAGAAACTTGAGTATACCACCGTTTATATTAGAAACAGGAAAAAATTATAACCCACTCTAAAGGTAACCATATATGTCAGTGAATCGCCAAAACTATGCCTTCAAAATGCTAACTCAAAATAGTAGTTATAAAAACAGACAAATTTCAGATGATTAAAATTAAGGGCCTTCTGCCAATTAACCGAAATTCAGGACTTTTAAGGACCAAAAATCAATTCAAAATTCAATCTAAGGACTTTTAAGGGCTCTTAAGGACCATACAAACCCTGTGTAAGCTGTTCATAAACTCTGATATACAGTAAAAGACCAACTATCTAACTCAAGAATTACATAAAATATTTTAGAATTTTAGAAACTTTAGAAGGATATATGCTAACTGCTGTTTATCTGTTTTCCTCTCGCATTTTGAAAAAAGAAAAAAAACACTGCCTTCTACATAACAGCATGTATTTTTAAAGTTATGGGACCCTGGCATCAAGAAAAATGTGCATGAATCAATACAATATACTACTTTATTTGAAAATAAATAACAGCATGTATTTATGGGATCCTGGCATCAAGAAAAATGTGCATGAATTAATACAATATACTACTTTTTTGACAATGGATAAACAATGGTGATGTAACGGGAAAAATTATGATACCCAATTTACGTTTTTTGCTATATCTGCAATTTGGATTTATTAATTGTAGCGAAAAAGAAAAGATGAGGCTTACGGACAAAATAAGATTGAAGAACTCACTTGATGACACAACATATGTTGACGCAAGGATTGAATTTGCTGCGCTATATCTCAGAACTGTTTTTGTTTAATAATATTGGAAAAGAAAATAATTATTACTTAAATTTTTATTACCCACCTTAAATAGAAGGGAAATTATTCATAAATTACTTTGGGTCACTGACCTTTTTAAACAGGTCCCAACTTTGGGAGATTTACCATCATTTTTGGTACTATATACCAAACACGTCATAACACGCAAGGTAGTTTTTACCTCTTTAATTGTGGGCTCAGAATTATTCTTTAAATTCTGATAGGAAAGACCTTAAACTCGATGATTTCTTACAGATTCTGCATAATTACAGGGAGCCTTATTAAGCATCCAAAGCAATACATTTGCAAAAGCTTTGAGCACACGTCTCAAGAATAAGACAGAAAACAGAAGCTGTAATCTCTCATGCAATTCTCATAAGAATGACATTAGACTCAATGATTTCATACAGATTCTGCACAATTATAAAGGGCCTTACAAAACATCCGACACAATATATTTGTCATAGCTTCACACACACACACCTGAAAAACAAGCAAGAAAACTTAAATTACATTCTTTCATGGCTCAATAATAAACGTCAGCGCTGGAAATCAAAGGGCTGAGAGTCTAACCCGACACATGTAGCTTTTTTCATTTATGTTACTCTTATTTATTAAAAAAAAAATTGTTAAATAGTAACTGTTTTTAATTTATGTAATTACTATTTCACAAAAAATTTCTTTAAACTCTTATCAGAATGATTGGTGCAAGTTTATATCATCTTTGCATAATTCCATGATCAATGGATTTCACAGCCAAAATAAGATGCTTTACTTTCACTTGTTCCAAGTCCATGAAATATGTCCTTTTATATCTGAAATGCCATTTTTTAAAAATCTTGCATAAGTTTAAATGTAGGCCTTTAATGTAACAAACAAGATGACTTATTAATTATAATAATAATTTGAGACTCGCAATTTTTTCAGTTCTCTTCTGTTAGCAGGACCAGATTCAGAAATGTGTGTCACTCACTGTCAGTTGCAATTTTTATACTTTATATATTCTACTCATGTCAGTTGCACTTTTTATAGACCAGCTGTCAGGAATTTTCACATATCTGGCATTCAGCATGTTCCGAATTTTCTGGATGGTCACAGTTATATTTATACTTATGGGTATTATAAATTACACCTAAATGTTCCAAAATGCTAAATACTGAAATGAATTTGTACCTTTTCTAAACTGGCAATACGCATTTTGACAAACAGAAAAATTATTTAAATGCATAAATTACACTACAAAATTTAAAAAGTAAACATATGTATAAAATATAAAATATGAAACATGTATAAAATATAAAGTCTCATGCTCTGAATGAAAAAAAACAGGAAAATCCTGAATATGTATAAAATATGAAACATATGTATAAAATATAAAGTCTCATGCTCTGAATGAAAATTCCATAATTTGAATATAAACTAAGATGTAAATTTAAGATGAAGCAGATTTAATAAAACTGACTAAAACAAACAATCATAAAGAAATGAAGCACTGTACTTCTTATGATTACAAAATCAATACACAAGATTTTCTGCATATTTGTATTGATTTATTGTGTTCTAACAGTTATTCTTTCAATTAATGAAATTTCAATTTAATATAATAATAAACATAAATGCTAATTAAAAATATATAAAAATCACTTACCCTTTGTTTGAAGGCTATTCTTTCTTCAACAGTGAGAGTATCAGCTTTGGCAATAACAGGAACTATATTTACTATTTTGTCTAATCGCTTCATAAATTCAGCATCAAGTGGAGTCAACCTTGAAAAATAAAGAATTATGAAAGTGATTTATTATAGTATAATATTTTTAAATCTAAAAAAAAGAGCATGATAAGAATTTGCATTTTGATAATCTCAGATTAGTACACCTCCTCCAGAGAAGATTTTATCATTAAATGAATAAAAAAAAAATTATCTGCTATAATCAGATGATAAATCAATCTTCTAAATAAAACTCAACATAAAACAAGGAATTTTAATTAATATAACTGCATTCTAATTATTACATCATTACAAAAATCAACAACACCTCTAATAAAATCATACATTCGACGATAACCACATATATGAAAGACCAAACTTATTTAGAATCATAAGTAGTCTTATACAGATTTCTTTACTGTATATGTAAATCATTAAAATTCAGGGCATATAATCATTCATTCAAAAAATTTTCATAATATTATGCATCTTAATATTCCCACAATCTATTATCAGAATTTTATTTTAATAAATCTGCAATTTGGTTTTCTCAAAAACTGCTTTTTTATTCAAAATTTAAGAATGCTAAAGAAGAATTTTGTTACATTAACAATTTCATTATGATTCCGTAATCAAGTTACATTATAAAATATTCATTTAGCTTAATCGACTTGATAATATAGTTCTTAAAATTTACTTACGAGTGGCCTGTTGGAGGAATAAAATATAAACAACAATGAACCCTTGTATCTGGAATGTACTTTTTTCGATTAACGCTCTGTTCTTCATTTAAGTACTTTTCATACTGTTGGTTGATGTACTCCAAAATAGGTATCCAACTATTAAAATAAATGCTTATTTTTTCTAAAATTCAACATATAATAAACAGCCAAAAGATATTTACGATTAAGTAAGCCTGACTTTTAAGACTAATAGCACAAAATAAATGAACTAACCAATTTTCGTTATTTATGTGGTCTCCAAAACCTGGAGTATCTGTGACAGTCAACCGTAGTCGAACCCCTTTTTCTTCTAGTACTGAAAAGGATGACAACGAAAAATATATAATTATCAAATACATTTACATGTATAAATAGTTTTAAAAAAACTAATACAAAGTCAGAAATGAGAATTAAGAGCTAGATAATTTGTTTTGATTTAGAAACATCACCACAAAGATACAACTAGCTTAAGAAGCATTAACATAATACAGTCAAAAGTCGTTAATCCGGACTCGACGGCGATTCCGGATTATAGATCATCAGTTTAAATCTGGTAAGATGGCATGCAGAAATTATAAAATTAAAAATATGAAACCATAATTTATGAAATAAAGAACAATTATGATCTAAAGGGTATCAAAATTTACAAATAAAAAGCTTAATATTTATTTGTTTACTTTATTAAACATTTCTTTCAATGTAAGTTGTTTAACTTGCTTCGTTTTATGTGATGATACTTTCTCTTTAATTCTATAAACAGACATAAATTCTTCTTCAGTTACAAAGTTCCGCTGTTCAAGTCCTATAATTGCTGTGTCTAGAATACCGACTAATTCAATCGAAATTTTTTCGTTTTCAATAACCTCTGTGTCACTTTCTTCACTATCGGAAGCGAATTATAATGACGAGGAATTTGATTTAAATCATATCAAAGACGGATTACATCGAGATGAAATATTACATTTAGTAAAGAATTATAAGCCAAATAAAATAAAAACATCTGCCCTGAAGATAAGGATAGTGCTGACAGATCAACTTCCAATTCATTGCGGGCCGCGGCATTTCCCCCCCCTCCTCCGAGTAGCGTGAAATTGATAAACAGATTTTGGAATGGTTAGAGAAACGAAGGATATGCCTTTATCCATTTTTTGCAGCAATTAATGGACTTCGAAACATACTTTCGCTTTGTAGATCCTTTGCATATTAGTAAATATATATCGGAAATTCTATTTGACATAATCAAAAGTTCAAGCTTACTTTTATAAAATTGCTCTAACACTCTGCAAAAAATAATAAGCCGGATCCAATTCGAAGATTAAGGAACAACGCAATCTGCGACATTAACTGAATTAGATAATTTTAGCTTAGCTTATACAGTCCGTTATATATTAAACGTGCATGCATAAACGTATTATGCGCATGTGCACACGCATATTCGCAGCTGTAAAGGTCTCTTGATGCATGCGCAGAAAATTTGTAGCTTTGAGGTCCAGATTATAGATCATTCCAGATTATGGGTGTTCAAATTAACGACTTTTGACTGTATTCTCAAATTTATCATGTTATAAATATTACTTATGTTTCAAAAAAACTTAAATAAACAATGATAGAAATATGTAAATTTTACATTGTTATTTTTAAACTCGCACAACAAATGTCACTAAAAATAAGATCCTGTTATTATATATTTACTTGAGCACAAAATAAAATGTAGTTAAACACATAAAAGCTAAGACGTGTAATGTAATTATGATCAGACATTAAAGTAAACTGTTTTTTCCATGGAGAGTTAGCCACTCCCCCTTCCCTTGTTTACTTATCGTTTTGCCATCACATATAAGTTAATTACGAATATCACTTTTATTATTATTATTAAAAGGTAAATCTGAGAACTATATATGTTTCTTCGTATACTTTACACAAAAAGAATACTCAAACTCTTTCTTGAAGACCATTCAAACACGCATGTCAATTATTCTACTTTTTTACGTTCTAAAACATTCTTTTACATGGACATGAAGTCGGAAATGTAGACATTATTTGTAACAATTCAGTACCTTTCACATCTTTGCATACAAAATCAGAAAACACATTGAGAACTTGAAACCAACTGGCATTTTACTTCATTTCGCTTAGTAAGGTAAACGTTTCCTTGCCCTCACGTGGCGTGGCTTATTTCCTTCCCCTGGCTTCACTTTCTTCGTACTGCAATAGCAGAGATGCCATCTCCATGTATTCTAACCTCCTTGAGATTATCTTATTTAAAATATGTTCACTGACATTTGAATTTAGTTACATATTTGGAGAAGGTCAGCAATAGTGAAGATGAGAAGCAGACTAGGTCGAACATACAGAGGGTGTTCACACATTTTTGTAATGATTTTGATTTTCTCCATGAATTTAAATATTAATTTAAAAATACAAAAAGTGAATGGCTGCAAACTGAAATAAGATTTAATTATCATTTGCAGCACTAAAAATATTCTTTTACAATGGATTGAAGGCTATATTTTTCTAAATTTTTTGTTTTGAAAATTTAGCTTTTTTACGTTCTAATTGTGTGTTTAAAAAGTGATTTTGCAAAAGCAAAAACCACATTTTTGGATAAATTTTAGGCTAAAAGTTCAAAATGTAGAAAAAAAATTTAGATAGTAATATGGCACAGTGGAGTTTCTCGCCAAAAATATTTGGCGAGAAATTTGTCACCAAGCGAGGTCGTATGTAAGAGTAGTTCCCTTAATTATATATTTTTAATTATCAAGTTTAGTCAATCTGGGCTTTGTTGTATTACTTTCAACTACAGTTTATATGATAGGTATATAGCAACTTCCTTGAAACACAAAATTTATTGAATTTATTTGAACTGAAAACTGAATAAATACACTTCATATGTAATAAACATACATAACTTACATTTTGATTAGAATCACCTTAGGCATAAAGTAATTTCTATTGATAACTGGCATTAATAAATTAACAATTCTCAATACACACCTACGCATTTTACACTTTTAAGAAATTTTATGCACATTTATTAAATTATGTTGCTGTAGTAGTTACAAGTAAAAAATCTTAGAAGAGTACCTATGTAAATTTTGACAGTTTTTAACAAGTTGAAAAAAAAAAAAAAAAAAAACTGATTTCAGACTACTTTCAAACATTTATGTTTATTGAAGTTGAATAAGCAGCTGAAAACATTTATGTCTTACCATGACTAACAGATTTCACTTCAGTAGTTTTAGGAATTTTGTATTGACCATTTTCTTCTCCTTCTACTTTAACACACGTTCGTCTGCTAACACTAGCTTTAAATAGAGTATTAAGCAGTGTAGACTTTCCTAATCCACTTCTACCTGTACAGAGGAATGACTGAATTATTTCATTTAATTTCAAAAAGTACAACAATGATCTGCAATTTATGTACCTCTGTTGAGTTAAAAATGGTTGATCATTTAAATATATAATATATTTTCTAAATGCAAATAAGAAAAAGTGTGCATACATAGTTATTCATGTTCACAATTACAAAATAATATATGAACTGTTTCGATTTAGAAAACAACAACATAAGAAATAACATGAACATTTAAATTACCCAGAGAAAAACCATATAATTAATATGATACCTGATGTGGAGTTTTAAAAGTAATACTATAGTAAATGAGTTACACTATACATAGTTCTGCCATATTTTAGAAACAAGAATCAGGCTATTTCCCCCTGGAAATGAGTAAAACGTGTTTCCTTGTATGTTGACATATATAATGTGTACATGTTTGAAATACTGTATTTTATAATCTACTAATGAATCTGTCCAAATTAAGTAAAAAAAAAATTGATATAATTATTTATCTCCAATCTCCCTTCCTCTTAGAAAATTTTCTGTGGATGCTCATATCCAGAACACTGTGTAAAATTAATGCTATTAGAAAAATCTACAACATACTATAAGATACTAGCTTGTATGGTGCATAAAAAGTGGTCTGAAAGGAAAAATAGAAGAAATCAAACAGCTAAGATAAAACAATACTTTTTACATGACACTTGTATCACTTTTCTCTTTGTGTGCAATTTACACGATTGCTGTTTAGGTATGTTATCAAACATTTATATTCAGCATGCAGCTTCTCAGTAAATATACTCAATTTCTTTGTATTAATCTTTTTTCCACATTTTAAACACAGTAAAGAATAGCAAAATTGAAAAAAGCTATGTTTTCAGACACAGACTTCAAGAAAGAAGTCACAAATGGTAAATAAATACAAGTTTTAAAATCAATACAGACAGTTTAAAAAAGAACTTTATAACTTTCATCTGCATAAAATTATTTGTGTCACTAAAGGTCTTGAAAATCCTAATATGCATACATTGGGCAATAAGAATTCATGAATTACTTTCCAAAAGAACTGTACTGATTAGTGACATTTAACAGTGAAGCTAATGAAATGAATAAGCAGTAACTCTGGTTTAAAAGTCCCAGCCAGAATTACAAATAATAAACATAATTTGGCTTATCTCAGATGCCTGGTATCCCAAAGCAATTACATAATAATAATGCCAGATGCCTGGCTTCTCTAACTACATATCAAAGTAGTTACAAAAAATAAATATCATTTTCCTAAAACTGTATAAATCATTTCATGAATTTCAAATATAAATGATTTTCAAATGTTTTCAAAATATGTTTAGAGGTTAAGTGAATACTGCAACTAAACTATAGCATTTTCATACTGCAACTAAACTATAGCATTTTCATACTGCAACTAAACTATAGCATTAGAAATAAATATTCAAAACTATGAATTAAAATAAAAATTCAATATACATATTGTACACAGCATTTCTTGAATTATCATTTTATAGTCATATAAATATGAATTATAACATAATTTTTAATATACTGAAATGCTTTAAGTATAAAAATATAATATACTGAAATGCTTTAAGTAACATTGAAAATAATCTCAATTTTCAACAAGAATTTAGTATTTTTTTACAAAATATTCTTATTCTACTTAATTTTAAAATCTTTACAATTTACATTTCTTTTAATCCCCCCTAACATTTCAGTCTCAATAAATAATCATGAAAAAATTCATTAATGCTTATGTTTAAGAAACTACATCTAGTGATACTTATATTATGAAATTTTGTCATATATCAGTATGTGAATGAAAATTATTTCATCATACCTACAACTATGATATTAAATTCAAATCCTTTTTTGAGCACTTTTTTTCTGATTTGTTCTTGTAGAGTATCAATGCCCACATAACCAGAGACATCAGTTTTCAGATTGCCCCACTGAGTAGTTTCTGTTAAAGTATCAGCCATAATTGTTATAAAAGCATTCACACTCAACTGGCCTGAAATCATAAAACAAATCTGGTATTATAATATGTAAATAAAATTGGTTTCGATACACCTTCATAAAAAAAGGAGCCTTTTTGTAAGTAACAGGGAGAACAGATATGTTTCATTTTCCTCAATTTCTTATGTTTTTAAAATTTATTGATACAAAACATTTAAATAAAAATAATAAATATTTAAATAATCTATGCTTTAGGAATAATATAGCTTTGAGAAATAAACATATTTTAAAAAGTTAAAGAACAGTACACATTCATATTGCTTTTATATAACCAAGTTATAACTGAACTGTTGCATTGTATTTATACTATGATTATAATTATATATACTACATATTTAGGAAATATAACTCTTATTCATAACTATCTCCTTATTACTCTTACCCTAACTTATTGACTATCTCCATATTGCTCATATATTAAAACCATAGTGTCTCAATATAACATTAATCATTCTGTTACATACAAATCTCCATCACTCTGAATAAATACTTAGCTCCCAAATTATCTCATATCACTGTAAAAAATTGAAATAATATATCATTTCCTGAATGTTTTATAACTGGTTTTCAATTATTTAAGAAAACAAATATTTAAATATCATTAAAATACGAGTAAATAAGCAAAGATAATTTTAAAAGAAACATAACTACATAATTTTTTCTGCTAAATCTTTTGGCATTTAAAAATGCATTATTCAACCATCATACCTTTTGGCCTTTTTCTGCTATCTTATCATTTTCTACCATATAAAGATTTCATATGAGAAAATCATTTAGATAACTTTAGAAATTCTGATACCCTTCAAATTTATATTAACTAAAATACATCTTCAGCTTTTACAGGGTCATAATGTATAATAGAAATGCTGAATGATTAAAGTTCTATAACACTTAATAAAGTTTGCTATTAAAATGATAATTCAAAATTTTGCAAATATAATATGTGTATTATACAATTATATCCAAAAACTAAGATTGTATGCAAATACTCGGGTGTATACATATAACCATTTAATTAAACAAAATTCGCAAATTGTGACTTACAGTTTGATTTCCGGCTATATAACAGCTAAGTATCACATAAAATGCAACACCTCCATATCATAAAAAATGTCTCTGGGAAGATTTTTGAGAAGAATATCCCCGAAGACCAGAAAATGCTGACGAAAATTTAATTCGTCCGTCTCAATCAACTACAGTGAAAGTCATTAATGCTCAGAATTCAGGTTAAAAGATGCGGTGAACGCGGCCATGTGACTGGAAACGTACGGCACACAATATGCCGGTAGGGAAGCACGAATCATGATTAGTCAGGATGAATCACATAACACACGCAACTAACTATGTGATAAGACCGCCACAAATATTGCCGTGACGCAGTTTTAAAGTCGAGCAGAGGTTATTGGCTAGTCGAACGTTCCAGGGTAGTTCTTTTTCTGTAAGAAATCCGGTTTTCCGCGCTCGCGTGGGGTAGAGATTGTTTGAAATTTACTGTGGTTATCATTTTCCTTTCAACTGGTGAATATTGGCCAATTTATTTTTGTAGGTGACTATCGATTTTTTTGGCAAGCTTTGTATCAGGATTTCCGTCAAATGTTCTTTTAGTTAACTAAATATTATTTTGTATAAAATAAATTTAAAAACTATACTTCGATTCGATAAAAAATATATTTAAAAATTTGTAATCTAAACAAAGCACGACTACGATTTAATTGATTAAAATCTGAATCACGAATACTCTGCAACTAGTAACACTTAAAAAAATTAAATTCAAGTAAAAACTAAAAAAGGCGGGATAAAAAACAGTCAAAACACAATCTTGATTTCATTTACAGGCCTTTTTATTTTTTTATTTGTTTTTATAAAAAAATATATATATAATCTAAAGTAAATTTAAATTTCTAACGAAATACAGAAAAGGAAAACCAGCGGAGGAAAAATGTTCCACCTTCAAAATGGATTTTATTAAGAAACAATAAACTGTATATCCGGGGGGGTAAAGTGGAGGAATATGTTAATGTTAAAAAAAGAAAAAGGTTGAAAATAATAAAAATTACAATTTTTTTTTTAATATATAAAATAGGCTTTTACTTAAAACTCAGAAAAAGAAAAAAGAAGACGAATTTAAAGGGGAAAAAAATCTGAAAGCTTTCAGATTTTATATTACGCCCATAGGGGAGCTTTTTTTCACTTACATACATATACACATTTCGAGAGAATTTGGGATAATGTTCCTTTGGGCTAAAAATATTTAAAAACAGCAAATCTTTATAATTCCCGATAGACAGTCTTGCGCGATGGATTGTCTTTAATCGGGAGATAAAAATGTTCTTTCCTCTACAGTATTGCCACGGCTCACTATGAAATCATTGAATTTGTTAATCAAAAATTCGTTAAAAGTTTTTAAAAATCTGAAATACACAATAAAACAAATTCGAAATTCAAAGTTCGGTCTTCCAGGTGTTCATATTCGGGTGGATGACTAAGTTATTAAAAATTTGATGACTCTAGGTACCTTTTTTTTTCCTTCCACAATGCGAAATACATGCATATATTCATGCAAATTCTTCCTTATTTAATTACTTTAAATATACTACAGGGCGATCATATATTTGGTGGAAACAATTTGAAAAGTGATTCAACGCAAAATCCTGTTTTGAAACTAATAACCCTTCTGGGCTAAAGCTCCTTTGGAATAATAAACAAACTACACTTATATACATTCATGTAGTAATTGTGATATTTAAACAATAAGCAAAAATACGTCTGGAAACTCAAATACTGCTAAAATGTTAAACCTAATTAAAAAATATTAATTGTTTCACTTCATCTCTCATTAAATATGCCAAATTTTGCGTGCCTCTCAAACACAGCTACCTCCAGATAATGATCTTTAATATATATAAATGATCTTTAATCTATAGTAATCTATATAATGATCTTTAATCGATATAAAGAAGAAAGTCTGTGTGTTTGCTCGCTAATAACTCAGTCACTACAAAACTATTGTCACCAAACTCTCTACAATTCTTTTCTGAGTCCTGAAAAAGCTCGACGTCCACTTTGTTGTTAAAAACAAAACAAAAAAAAAAAAAAAAAAAGATAAATTTAGAGATTTATTAATTAAAAACTCTGAAAACGCTAATTTTCGTCCTCATTTTTGCGATTGGCAACAGTCTCGCACGCTGGAGATAAAAATTTGCCTTCTTTATACACGTGGTGCCACTGCTCGCTTTCAAATCGTAGAGTTTATTAATAAAAAATTTCTTCTAAGTTTTACAATTAAATAAAAATAGCATTGCCAAAATACATTATTCCCGATTCCAAAAACTCGCGGAAAGCCATTTCGATTGTTTCCATCTTCGTACAAATTTAAACAGCCAAGATATTAATTAAAAATACTAATTTTCGCAATCATTTATCCGAGTGGCAACAGTCTCGCGCTTCGGAGATAAAAATGCTTTATTTGGAAAAGTGTTGCTACTGCTCACTTTTCCAAATAAAGCATTTGTTAGTTTGTTAATCACTAACAAATCTCCTAGTTTTACGATTGTTAATCAAAAACTTGATTAACAAAGTTTCAAAGAAAGTAATAAAGTTTCACAAAATCTCTATATACAAGGTGTACCGTAAATGTTGCGACAAACTTCTAGAGAAGGTAAGGCACATCATAAAGATTAGGAATTGCATAGGAATCTATACCGGAAATGTCAAGGGTAAGTAGTAGCAGAGGTAGAAAATGGGAAAGGAAACAAGAGAGTGATAAATTCTAAACATTTATTGGATATCAATACAAATGGTGTTTTGACAGCTTGAATGTTACAACATTCAAGTTCATCATGATGCTCGAAGTTTGCAACATCAGACGCCAAATATGCCTGACACCGACGGGCCATTGATTGCCGAACATGTTCAAACACACCTGGAGTTTCTTTGATTGTAGCAGTTACGCAGGCGACTCTTGCCACGAGATCCATTTCAAGCACAACAGGATCATGATACACGACACTTTTGATGGCTCCCCACAAAAAGAAATCAAGGCTCGATAAATCCGGTGAGCGGGGGGGGGGCAGGGAGCCGGTTCATGATGCCCAATCCATCGATGCGGGAATGATCTGTTCAGATGGCTACGAATATCAAGAACAAAATGAGCAGGCGCCCCATCATGTTGGAACCACATGTTGCGCCTCACATTTGTTGGAACATCGTCAAGCAAACGTCGTCAAACCACTGAACGCACACGTTCAGAATAGTCATCCGGGAGTAGTTATTGAACAAGGACTCGGTGTTCAAGACACGCTTGACACTGGTATAAGACATTCTTAATTGAGAGGCAATGGCACGTATGTTGGTCCTTGGATTACTCTCCTCCATATCCAACACATTTTCTTCCCTAACGACCAAGCGAGTCTATTGCGACCTGCCCGCACTTGTCCTGCCACTTCTTAATGACCCGTAGTCACACAAATGTTGATGCAGACGCGCGAACAAACTGTGGTGTGGTTGATGTCTGCTCTCGATAAATGCGTGCAGCGGCTCGTCCATTACACTCAGCTATTCCATACACTAAGAGCATGTCTGACCCCCTGGCGGCGTACAGTTACGTCTCTGGACACAGGTTCTTATGCAATTCTTAATCCTCATGATATGCCCTATCTCCCATAGAAGTTTGTCGTAACATTTACAGTACACCCTGTATAAAGAAGATGCCTGTTTGTGTGTTTGTTTGCGCTATTGATTTTTGATCAATTATGATAAATTTTTTTGCCACATTTAATCGACTAAAATTGAATATAGGTGAAATACTGGATGGAACTTGAGCTTTTACGACCATTTGATTAGAAAGACGAAAATCATTAAAAACTGTGTGCCATTGTTGCTGATATAATGAGAGAGAACTCATTTATTTTTCTATCGAAATTTTTTATGTAGTTCCACATCGCATCAGACTGAAAAAAGTATGACTATGAATCGTATTTTTTGCATCGTTATTAGAGAAGGATTACAGCGGAATCGTTCTCTCTGTTGTTAGATTACTCTCAATCTAACTTAACTGCCATCGAGTACTTTCGCTAGTCCTAAAATAACAGTAACATTTATATAAAAAGTTATAAAAATTCATGTAACTTTCTGTATGTCCTAGAATCCAAATTATTGTTAATAAATTAATACAATGTATGTAAACTGCAACTGTTTCATTACTAATAAAATGTCAACAGATACATACATTCGTATGTAAAATTATGTGAATTTGCAAATTATGTCTGTTTGACTGTTTTTAGAAAAGTTAGTGACCAAAGGTACTAATTATGCAAATATTCAGAATCTAATACGTAAGAGTACACATGCGTTTTTGCGGAGTTGTGATTAACGCACGGGATGTAGGCGCACGAGGAGTTAACAGTGATTTGCATAGCAAACAGGAACCAAACATTCAACTTCTAGCAGGAAACTTCGACATTAAAAGCTCGTTAAATTTTATAAGGATCAGGTAAAATGAGTAGCTACGTACGTATGGATGACAGAATGGCATGGAGAATTGTCGTAGATTGGAGTCAGGTCAATCACAAGGTGGCTATAAGCTCAATGTAATGCCCAGTGCCCACTGTTCTGCAATTTGCTGAAACAGTTTCAGGACACTGGATCCATTTTGAGAAAACCTGGACAAGGTCCCGCTAAATCCACGACGACGAATGAGTATCGTTATTTGGCATTTTCAACGCGGCGATACAGGAGTGCTACAGCTTCACAGCTCTCATGTGAGATAGGGCAATATGCCAGCTGTCCAGTATGCCGTTACGATGACTGACCTGCAGACTTGTGAGAGAGGGCCATACCCCATATTAGACTCATTTTCAGTCCCATATCACAACGTAAATGAGTTTTACTGATATTCATGCATACATAAAACGACTTTTGAATAGTACACCTCTTTTTTTGTTACAAAGGTATATTCATAACAAATTTCATCAAAATCTGCAGATTAGTTTTTCAGAAATTCGACATAATGTGCAGATTCTCTTAATTTTGCACACGAGTGTATTATACAAAGAATTATTCTAAAAATAACTGCTGAGAGTTCCCTCTTCTTAAGCGGAAATCGGTTTAATTTTTCAGTAATTTTTTATTCAAAAATATAGAATTTATTTATTCTTAAGCAGATTTAAAAAATATAGAATTTCTTATTAAAATTTATAAAATACATACACAAAACTGTTCATAACACTAAATAAATAATTAAAAAAATCTAGACTTATTGTCACTTCATCAATCATTCTGCTTGAACTTATAAGGATAATTAATTATAATTAATTAAAAAATATACATTACACCTTCATTGTCATACAGCTTGAGAATGCATATCATACAGTAATAAAAATAATTATTATTCAAGACAAAAAATA